CACACCTTAGCCCAAATGCCTGGATGGGCGGAGCCAATGGTCTCAAGCAAGGCAAGTATTCTCTTCCTGGGATGCAGGATCAGAAGGTAGTGGTGGAAGAGACAATCAGGGTTATTAGGAAAAGAATTAAAATAAAACTGCAACAGCTGGAGAAAAATCATGTGTGTAGTGCACATAGCTACTGAGAACAGTTCAGTTTGTCCTGTCTCAAAAGGATATTGTAGAGCTGGGAAAAGTACTTCCCCCACTATCAGGACAACCAAAATAATCAAAATAAAGCATTTCTCTATAAAGAAAAGCTAAAGCATTCAGAACTTTTTAGTTCAGAAAAATAACTGACCAAGATAAGAAAAAAAAGATACCATAGTAGAGTTTTATAGAATTAAGCATAGTATAGAGCAACTTTACACATTTATTGTGATTTTATTATGTTTCTTTGTCATGATAATTTAATTGTATAATTTTACCAATGTTATTTAATGGTATTTTGTTGTAATGGCTACCCAGAAAGCACATTGCTAGTAGGTGGCTTTCTTACAAATCTAATAAATAACATTAATAGAAGTGGGTGGGGGTTTTTGGAGGGGGGTTGATTTTGTTTCTCCTCTCAGTTATTAGAATTCAGAATACTGAAATGAGAGTAGATTCAAGACAGACAAAATAAAGCTCTTCTTCATGCAACACCTTATGTATGGGGAGGCGGGGCAGGGGAATTCCATGTGAGAGGACTAACAGTAGCTGCTTCTCAAGATGGCTATTGAAACCTCCACAATCTGAGGCAGTGTACCTTGGTAGTCCAGCAGCTGGCGAGCAACAATGAAAGAGAACTATTCCCTTCATATTGGCCACTCTGAGAAAAAGGATGCTGAACATGATGGACTTCTGATCTGATCCAGCAGAGAGTTCTTCTCATATTCTTCTAATTAATTGTCATCTTAAGGGACTTACCCTCCATTAGCATCAGGCAATATGCTGCTTTCATTACTTTTCAAGGTTATAAGTCTATGCATGTTTAGACAGAAGGAAAATCTTATAGCTCCCAACTTTTCTCAGGTAGCCATGCTAGCTGGGGAATACTGACACAAGAGTTTTCCTGTCAAAACATGCATAGAGTTGCACCCCAGGTTGCTGAAATACCATTGCACAGGCTTTTAACAACTATGCTATTCTCTCTCATATTTGTCACGGTATTAGCAAATGTTTCTATGGCAAAGTCCCATTTTCACTAGCCTTCAAAGTCCTGTTATCTAAGGATGTCTACTGTTGAGTTCTTCCTTCCAGGATTCATTAACTCAGGGAAAACATCTGAACAATTATCAATGACTACATGCATGGTTTTCTGGATTAAGAGGCTGACCCAGGGTACATTAGACTGCATTCATCAGTAACACAGACAGGTCATTTTTACAGAGGCTGAACTCAAAATCACCTAGTGCAGCCTTCAATAGCCTGGTGCCTTCCAGCTTTTTGGATTTCAACTGTGCTGGCTGACTTAGGGCATACAATAAATCTGATCTGAGTTTCAACAGCAAACCTAAAGTCTCACAGAGGAAATGAATACTAGAGAGACTTGTCACATTTCTTCAATGCCATCATCTCCTTTGTGAATAAAGAAATGTGGTATGACATGTGGAAAAGCATTAGAATGTATTCAGGAAGGGAAAAGAAGGTTTGCAGTCAGCAGTGAGTTATTCATGCTCCTCACAGCTTTCTTGATTTCCAGAGAGGCATAATCTCGCACATTCCTGGGGACCTGCATTGTGAACAGCCTCAGCATGAGAAGTGAGCAATATGTACATAGCACAAGCACCATCCTCATTCCCATAAGTTCATACTTTTCTTCTAACCTCATTGGTAGATTTCACTTCCTTGTCTCTAGAGCAGCCTTTCCCAAGCTGGTGGCCTTCAGAGGCATTTGGATCACAACTCCCAGAATTCCCATCCAGTAGGGTCATTGACTGGGAATTCTGGATGTTGTAGTCCAAACATGTCAAGGTTGGGGAAGGCTGCTCTAGAGGATCACTTTGGCACTATCTTAAGAAGTATCACAAAGGAGTTCGTAATGGACATGTCCTTTTTATTCATTCATCTGCCAAAGAAACCAAGAACTACTGCAACTGGAAGTATGCTGCTGCCTTGGAATAACTGTTGCCATTCCTACTGAGACAGCAATATCAGTAGAAGCAAGCAAAGATGGGTCTGAGTAAGCAAGAAAAGCAAAGATGGGGATTAGTAAAAAGGAAGTTCAAAGGGAAAGTGATGGACATCAAATCTTTTTGGTATGCTTGGAGGTTCTTCATATCACAATAATAGAAAATCAACTAGAATGCATGCTCATAAAAGACCCAGGGTCATGAGTGAGCAGCAAAATGGCCACATCTATGGATGATGCCAATTATGCAGGATAGTGAAAACCAGAGTAGATCCCAAAACTGACTCCTTCAGATTGTGTGAACACATATCAAAATGGCAAATGGGATTCAATGTAAATCAACATAAAGTGATAGACAACCCCCACCTCAAATCCTAATGTATACACTAATTGCTTTGAAGTGGTAAAGACTAATCAGGAACAAGATCTCAACTTGGGATTTTTCTAATTTTTTTCCCCTTTGGAACTGCCATCCTTTGCTCTCTCTCATTCTAACTGTTAAAGCAGCAACACATAACAAAGACCAGTGTTTTGTGTTATGTGAAAAAGAGGTTGCAGTGCAATGCAATTGTAGCACTACACTCGCCATTATGAACAGGCAAAGCTCTATTGAGCTGTTGTTTATTCTTTCTTGCAGATTGCAGCTAGAGATTAGTAAGGACTAGCATCCTAAATGTCCTTTCAATTGTCCTAATGCCAGGTTTTGTTCTGCAAGAAGAACTGAGTATTGATCAACTTTATTATCAATTTCTTCATTTTTAATGTTTTTATACTGAAATGATGCTATTCCACTTTTAAAAATGAAAATAAAAGAAAAATGCATGAAAAGCAGCACCTATAAGAACACAAAATGGCAGTGTGGCAATGAAGAGTCAAGTCATCAATAACTCTTCCATGGGGTAGCCATATATCCTGCTTTTACAAAGAGCTGCCAAATTCCAATCCCAGATAAACCATCAGAGGAAAATCTTGTGAGCTATGCAGGCTCATGGGAGAGAAGCCTGGTAGCCTTGTCCCATACTGTATAACCAGCACTTGGATTTTTGCCTAGAACATGCCAGTAGCCACCGAAGTTTGTGAAACAAAGTAGTCACGTGCTTCCAGTACCGAGCCCTGGTCAACAGTCTGGGCACAGCATTCTGGACCAGCTGAAGCTTCTGAACAGTTTCCAAAGGCAGCCCCACATAAAGCAGGCTGCAGAAGTCCAAATGAGAGATGACTAAGGCACGCATGAGCATGAACAGGCCAGGCATCTATAACCCTATGTGTGGTGTAAGGAAATTGAAGAGATTTGTTTTCCTTTCTCCCTGAATACAAGAAGGCAGGAACCTCCAATGAAATGGAATGGTAGTAAAGTGAAAGGCAGACAGTAAAGCACTTCTTAACACAGCACAAATGAACCTTCTCCAATTCTTTGCCTCAAGAGGTGGTGAAGTAACCTGTGAATTAGATAACCTTAAAGGAATGTTAAACAAACTAAGCCAGAGATAATAGCATGTGCAAATGGTTCTTGCCAGCATTGTGATGCCTGGTTCATTGTCATTTCACACAATGCATATTACAAATCATCTTCCTTGTGCTGCTCTCTCCTCAATATTCCATTGTTTTCTAACTACTACTTAGCTACAGAGAGAGAGAGAGAGAGAGAGAGAGAGAGAGAGAGAGAGAGAGAGAGAGAGAGGGCATTGTGCATTCTAGCCATACACTATTGCAAATCCTTTCAGCCGAAGTAGCTGTACAGCTTTCCCCATCCCAACTTTCTCCTCCTCCTGTTCCCAGCTCTTTCCTCACCCTGATTTTAATGGGATTTGTGGGCAGGGAAAACCTTCTATACCCTTTCTTTCTCACTTGCTTTGCACAGCTGGGGTGAAACATGGTGGGGCTGATGGCAGTAGCAGGGGGCATTTTGCTGAGTTTTGCCATGCAAAAGCTGATGGGAAAAGAAGAGGGCATTGGGGTTGAGTGGGCAATCCTAGTCATTTGGTATACCGAATGCATCAATAGAGGAGGAAAAGGAAGCTGTAGTCACTCAAAGAGACCCCCCCCCCCCATATCTCTTCCTCAGTAATTTGAGTTTTGTGGCTACTTTTGCTTACATGCATATGGTGGAGCAGAGGTCTGAACTATTTTGCTTAAACCTTGGTTGCTGCACTAGTGCACATGTTATCAGCTGATTCACAAAAAACCTCTCCTACCACTTCTTCCACAAGTGCATTTGTGTGTGACAATCATGTAACAAATATAGCAGATATGGCACTGTATTCACTAGCATGTGCCAGCACAGGAAGTATTTCATTGTGCAAAATTATGCACTAAAAGTCCTCTAGTGTAGATCCTTTCCCAGTCATGATGGCTACATGGAAGGTACAAGAGCAGGCAGAATGCCTCTGAATGAGTAATAACAGGAAAGGAACACTGCCTTCATAGTCTCTATGGGTTTCCAAGAAACATTCGGAAGTTGCACCTTCAGTCATTGTCCCAGACTCTCGCAGCAACTGGTGATTGAGGACTTCAGGCCGATAGTATTTAAATCCTAGATAACTGCAAATCTGGAGTGTGGGCTTGAAATTGGTAGATCAAAGAGTGCTGCAAAAGTTCAAAAACTGGATTGTTGTGTTGCATAGAGCACCAACCCACAGATTTTCCAATGCCATCCACCACCACCCGTCCAAGACCATGAGCCAAATATCACTCAACTGCCAGCTCGGTCTGTGACAAGATATATTTAGAAAGTATTCTTACACCAGTGTACTCTCCCTGTTACAGTTGCTGGCTAAACGAGGTCGCTCATAATTGCTAAACCATACTGCTTATGCTCCTTCCTGGACCTGATTTGTTAGACTGGGGAAAAGCACAAATGGTTCATATTTCCAGCTTTTCCAGGTTCCCGGTCCATGTTAGCATCAAAAATGGAACCAGGGGTACAAGAAATAGTGCACTGCTGGAGAAAGGGCAAATGTGCTTCTTCTAATATGCAAGGATATTAGCATTACTTTAGAAACTGGGCTACTTCTAAAAATGATAGGATCATACCATGAGATAAAATGGGCAATTCCAAGAACTTTCCATCTCCTTTCAATGCTGTCCTTTTTGCTGTTTTTAAAACCATTGATTCTCACCCCACTGCAGCTTGACTCTTGTTTTAAGTTTCCACATTGGGTTTGGCAATCAAGGAGAAGTCCTTTTAGGGGATGTAGAAGCTTCACAAAGCAAATTCTCCGAGAGCAACAGTGGTGTTAGCAGGATTTACATGTGGGCAAGGGCTTAATGCTGAAAGGGCAGCCAGAAAGGGAGGGGGTTTCAAAGAGAACCTGTTCTGAAACCAGACCCTTCTCTCTGGCTTTGTGAAATGTGTCTCCTTCCTCAGGTTTAGGAAATGGATCCCTGCTGGGATTTCCTTTCAAAGGTGACTTGTAACCTACTCGTTAGGGACGAGTTCTGCAGGGCACCCTCAAACGGTGTCTTTGGAAGGGCCAGCCAAAAGCTCTCTGTGCGTGCGTGCGTGCGTGCGTGCATATGTGTGCGTGTGCGCGCAATTTGGGTGAGGGGAAGCACTTGCTTCTCAAAGGGTGGGGGAATACCCACAGCATTTGGCAGCAGCAGCGGCAGCAGCAGCAGCGATAGGCGCTCTTGGAAGAAAGGAGGAAAGGCAATGCTCTGATGGGCACTATGGCTTTTCAAAAAGACCCCAGTTCAGTAGCTCTCGAAATGCTTCTCATAGTCCAGCCTGAGAAGAGGAAGATCGTGCAGAGGTTGCAGATAGACACACAAACAGAGAGCTATGCTTCACACCAAAGTCAAGGTAAACAAATGGCAATTGACTGGGTTGTTTGCCGGGATGGGAAGTGCATGCATATTCAGTAGCAGACTGAGTAGGATGAAAGGGCAGGAGGTGGTCAAGGGAGGCAGCTATTTTTGCACAGACACCCCCACAAGGAATAATTTATCTAATCATGAAAATCCCTCTTGTCTTAGTTCCTGGTGCAAGCTTTCCGCTTAGTTCCTCTAGTCAACTTGCAAGTGGGGAAAAACCTGACAAGGTGAGCAGAGTTTGTGTTGCATGCAAAGCAGCGCAAGGCATCTGGGGTACACACTTTGGAGCAAGCCTGTGCAGCAGCACACAGGGAAGGAGCACAAGATAGTGCAGGGTGGTCAGTTACATGGATAAACTGTACACACCCTCTTATCTCAACATGAGAGTTTGCAGTGGGAGAAACCTGTAAACTCTCATTCAGAAAATGTCCTCAGTCTGCAGACATAGTGAAGCAGTAGGCTGCAACGGGCAGTGATACTGTAATTCAATCCCCAGTCTGTTGCCCTGATAAACAAAGGAAGCAAATGAGAGAGAGAGAGAGAGAGAGAGAGAGAGAGAGAGAGAGAGAGAGAGTTTTTGTCTGCACCCATGTGTGTCTGCCTGGATGCATGTGAGTAATTAAAGAAACATCAGAATGAGCCATTTATAGCTACAGTCGAACCAAAAGCCTGGACCATATGTTGCTGAGGACGTGATGGCAATGGTAACTTAAGTACACCCCTTTTGCTCTACAGAAAACAGTGAAATAGGTGACCTCACAACAACAACAGCAACAACAAAATAGCAGCAGCAGCAATAATAGAGATGAGGATACCTGATCCTGGAACTGAGCTGAATGGGCATTGCCAATTGCTAGTACATCAGAGCAATTCATGTATTGCATTTCTATCCTGCGCTTTCACCATTTTTATTACAAGCTTGAAGCAAAGTATGCGGCTCTCACTTTTCACATACACACATACATACTTTTACCTCCATAGTGGCTCCATGAGGTGGGTTGGCCTGAGAGAAAGCAACTAGTCCAAAGCCACCTAGCGAGCTTCAGAGCTGAACAGGGCTGAGTCCTACTCCAGTGTTCTAGCCAGTATATGCACACAGGTGCTCACAACTGAGCTGGAATTGAATTGCTGTATTGACTTAAGGATGACTCACCTGTTATGGTGGAACAGGAGATACTATATGGCCTCCCACCTGCTCAGAGTGGGTTGTTGAAGGGTTAAATCTCCCCGTTGTTTCACAGATCATAGTTCCATGTTCTTGCATAATCCAAGGAACCCAGAAAAGGTACATACCTGGCTTGTTTTTTCAAATGAAACCGGTGAGTGGAAGACAGTACACTTGCTCTCACATGAACCCAATCAGCCATATTTAATTCACCCCTGGTTGCTGATTACATGCAAGTTGGAGTGTTAAGGATTTTACCACCTCCTGTTCTACCAGCTGAGCGCCCTCACTGGCTTGTTGGGTCATACAGGCCCAGTCATAGTAAAGCTATGCATGGTAAGTTTTGTTACTTCAGTGTGGCATGGCCCCAACTTGGATTGGAACCACAGTACTCACAGGAGTGGAGAGTTCAATCTTCTTTCCATCCTTTTTCATTCTGAACTTCCTTGTGAGGAGAACCTGCCATGTTGCATGCCATATTCCTAATTTTCACAGTATTTATTAATTCTAATATTCTCACAGTACCCCCACCGTAACAAGAGGGTACTATGTAGGGTGGCCATCTACAAAGGAGATCCTCTATCTGTGGGGTCTCTTCATGCAAGACAAAATACTGCCTTTTGCCTGATTTTCAGTGATCCATACTCATCCCCCCACAACAGCCCAACCACTTCAGCAGAGTACCCAGACCTACTGTGTAGTATTTACAGGATTAGAGGATGGAGAGGAGGGTCAGGGAAGTGTGCCCCCAGCTCAGCTGCACACACCTAAACCTGGATGTAGCCCACTGAACTGTTCTCTTTATAGCATGTCAGTGGATTGCCTGTATTAATACAGATATCAAAGAACACTGAAAATCTATTTAATGGTGTCTTTAGGAAGGTGGCTACAATTGTAGTCACTTTAGTATTGGAGATCTCCGAAATAAATCAGGCAATTACAAAGCTGACTGATGTTCCTGTTCCAAAAATCAGCACTTAATGCCCCAAGGCCCCTTGGCAATACAAATTAATGTACTGATATATATTAACAGCCCCATTAATGCTTAATCCCAGGAATATCTTTAACACATGCCTGTCTAATTTTAAGGGCACAGAATTTAAACTTTACCACAGACAGGGTGATATACCAGCCAAAAGATACGGTTGGTGGAAATCGTGAGCAAGGGGGGGGGGGAACCTATGCAGTAAAGGCGATATAAAACTTGTTCTTACAGAAGAATATAAATGACAACTGAATAGAAAATGTAGTGAGGTTTCAATCACACCTCTGCTACAGGGGCAGAATCTCTGAGGGCTGACAACTTGCTTTGCTGCATATTCTATCTTCTGGTTTCAGTTCTCCCACAGCTGGACTCTTAATACCAGAAATGATCTTGGCTTAATCTTGAAGCCTGAAAGTTTCACTCAACAGCTTACAGCAGCTTTAGAGGCAGAGGGACACCTGGGTTAGGGTTCTGATTCCTCTGTCCAGATCAAAATCTGGGAGTTCAGCAACTGCTTTTACAAAAAGAAAAGTGCAGAGTTCCAGACATGGAACTCCTGTGTTCCAGCTCAACATGTTGCATGGAGCGAGCAGAGTGTTTGAAGACAGCAATGGAATTGGGCAATTCTGGACTCTGAACTTAATTTTCTTGTGAGGGGCAACTTTAAATGGATAATGTTTTACTTCCCATATTTCAAAATTTGATAATCTAGACAAGCTGTATTTGGGATCCTGGACTGTTCTGCCAAAGCCCTGCCCTGATGTCAGCACAGCTTGAAGAAAGGGGCTGCAGGGAGGGCTCAGACCTGCTCACCCAAGAGCTTGTTAAACTGGATCTCCATCTCCTGCATTCTATGATGGGGCAGCTTCGTTAAGGGCAAGGGGAGACAGAGAGAGAAGACTGCTTCTGTGCTAGTTAGTGGCTCTTATTTACAATGGAAATGGTTCATTTGCAGTATCAACATGTTTCGACATTCCTTCAACAGCCTGTTTGCCCATTGCTCCCAGGGTTCTGCCTTGGTCAGCTACAGCAGGATGAATCAATCAAAGCAAGCTGAGCTGTGTGTTTGTTGCCAAACAAGGAAGAGTAACAGCGATGGGTTCAGGAACCAAGCAAGGAAAACAATTTTCCCTTGAGCCGACACATTTCAGAAGCTACCCTGCAGATATTTGTTTTCTCTGGCAAAATATTCATGCATTCTTTCCTTCCAGAAAGCACCGTATATGATTCAAATTACCAGCTGCATGGATTACATAGAACAGAACAAAACTTAGACTTTTAGGAGCACAGTTTTTAGAAAGAATCTTCTGAGGCACTGAATGACCAGTTTTAGGAAGAGTTCTCTAAACACTGATAGCTCTCTGGTCAAGCATTTATCACCATTTCTGCGGAATGGACTCTGTCATGATCTCAATCACACCTTTACCACTACAAAGAAATATCTTAATGAAATCTCAGGGTTCAGACATAGGGCTGAGCAGGATTCCAGTGAATAGAAAAAAGCACTTCAGTGCCTGCATAGTCCTTTTGCATGCAACAAATTATTCAAGATAGAGACATGCAAATGTATATAGGGCAAATTATTCTGTCTCCTTGACTCATTCTTAAGAAAGTATACACAGCCCAGTTGAAATGTATTTCTGACTTCATTGGAGCATCCATGCATTGCAAAGTGTGAGCTTTTTTCAAGCATGCTTAAGGAGTAAGTCCCAATAGCAGATCACACTTACAAAGGCTACATAACTCTGGGATGGTTACACATGTATAGCAAAAATGATTTATACATGTCCAGAACCAAATTCTCTAGGATAGAGGAGATCTATTATCTTTGTGGTCACAATCCATCTTTGGAACCTGCTCCCCAAGGAGGTGTGCCTGGCACCGTCTTTGTTTTCCTTCTGGCACCAAGTGAAACCCTTCTTATTTTCCAGATGTTTTAACAGATTTACTGGTTTTAATCTTGTTTTCATTTGAACTGCTATTATGCCATGTATTAATTTTCTTAATCACCAGGAGCTGTCAAATTGTTGCATATGTTTTTAATTGGTTTTGTACTTTTGTGTTTTTTGTTGTTATGTGTATTTATTTGTAAACTGCCCAGAGAGCCCTATGGGCTGTGGGACAGTATAAAATGTAATAAATATTATGAGAGCCTAATGCAGGCTTTCTGAGCAGTTTCATTTGTTTGTTTATTAATCCAAAATATGAAATATGTTTGTAATTAAACCTGCAACATTTAATTGATTAAAACATTTTGCTGACAAGAAAGGTGCCTTCACTTAATCACTCAGCAGATTTCAAAACAATTTTAATTATATTTAATGCAAGTAATTATGAAAATTGTGAATGGCAAATGCAGACTTAGGGTATTCTGCCATTTGTGAGAGAGACTAGGAAAAGCATCTTCTAAACTGATACTGGATGTAACATAGATGTGCATCATTGAAAAACTAAATATTTCCTGTTTCCATGTGTTTACCCCGCTCATGTGCAGGTTTATGCCAGTTAACCAACCACTTAATTAAGCAACTAAAATCCATACAATTGACCAGCAAAGATTTCTGTAATTAGGTGACAACTGTAATTTAAATCATTTATATACCTTTTCTATCTAAAATATATTGCACAGTTTCATTCAGTCCTCTTAACAACCACCCAGTGAGATAGTTTCCTTTTTACAAATAGGAAATTGAGTCCAGAGATAGTTTTCTGTCCCCATTCCTATCTTGTAATCTTCCCAGAGATTATCACCAAGCAAATCAGATCTCCAATATCCAAATGTCAGTGTAACTGTTTCTATTGCATGCATCATATTGAAATTAGGAACTGCTGCATTTTCAATTTTTTAGAGCTCCTCTTCCTCATCTTTCTCTAATTTCCACCACTTCTCTTCTTTCCAGTCTATTCAAAGTAATATTGTTTGTAGATATTCTCTATGTGTCTACATATTTTTATTCTGAAAGTATAATTTGTGTTACCACAGAGTAAACAATTTCAGTTGTGGAGGAGGGGTGTTCCATGCAAGTCTAACCCTGGCTATAGTTTTAAAAAATTAAAGAATTTGGTTTTAAGAAACAACAATGACTTCAGAAATGGCAAAGGAAATGCACACTAAACATTGGGTGATGATCCCCTTAGGAAGCAAAGTAAAACTTGTACAATTGACCACCAAAGATTTCTGTAACTGGGTAACAACTCTGCTTTTAATCATTTAACGTTCAAGGCACCTGGGTTATCCTTTATACCAGAGTGATCAGAGCGATGTTCAAGTCACCTGACATTTTAAAGGAAAATTCAGAGTTCTTAAAGGTAAATTAAAAATCAATATAAGCCATATCTTACAAGGTGGCCCAGCATGAAAACCTGTGTCAGAAGTTTTATCGGGGACAGGGATAGCTACCATTAGGCAAAATGAAGCAGCTGCCTCAGGTGGTGAGGAGCAGCAAGAGGATGGAGCTGCGCTTGCCCCATGGCCCACTCAACCAGGCCCCCTCACATGCCTCGTGGTTCCTGTACACTGGCCAGCCGCTAGTACAGTCAGGTTCTGCACATGGAATGGTAGGCAAGGGGTCTTCCCCTCTGCCTCAGGCAGCAAAATGGCCTGGGCTAGGCATGAAATTCCCAGCAGGAAAGGTAAGCTGAAATCTCTCTCCCTGATACGCCAGCTTTCACTGGCACTGTGAAACAGTGGAGTTTATGGGTGAAATCCTACACTCATTTACCTGGAAGTTAGTCTCATTGAATTCAATGAGATTTATTTTTGAGTTGAGATGTACAGGATGGCTCTGGAAAGGGGGAGCACTCAGTTGTGTGATGGCTTACCTGCATTGCTAGAGGCCAGGAGGGACTGTACCACTAACTGATTCTGCACGCTTGAAAGAATCTTAGATGTTCATGTTATTATTTACTATTTTCTAGGCTTTCAAGGGGATGGCAATGGAAACAACAAACTAGAGCAGTATCAAGGAAAAGACATTCATGGTATGCCCTCTTCTCTCACTCTTTGGTTTTTCATGTGAAAAATGCACTTCACGTCACACTGTTTTCTAATAGTGGTTAAAGTAAGAGCATCAAACTTCAGGCCCACAGGCCAAACCCAACTTTAGATAAGTCCAAGCCTTGCATAGATTTTTCCTCCATTCTAAACCATTGGGCTGCCTTTCCTAAGGCTTGCTTACTGGAATAAGAGCTTTAACTTTGCCTCTGACCCTGTCCACAATGGGAATGCAACCTGCAAGAGTTTCTGCAAAAATGAACTTGGCAATTTGGCTGAACCAGATTCCACATCCCGTAGAGACTTAATTGTGCTATGTTACATCCCAGAGAGGTTTAATCATTCTCAGCTTGAACCCAAGTTGACTGAATACATCAGTGCTTGGAGAATAATATCCACATGCTGCATTCCTCATAGAGAGTCATCAAAATATAGCAATAAATAACTGACAAGCTGCTACCCTTCAATGCCATGGCAAAATCTGCACTCATCCTGCCCAATGATATTGCTGACTGGCCATGCTATGCACAGCAACATGATGGTTGTATCACCTTCGTTTTTTATACAAATACATTTTAAAGAAATAGGGTGCAAGCAGCTGCAGAATTCTTTAGGATTGTCAGAAGTCCAGTGACATTGGCAAAGCCAGCAGGTTTTATTCCGGGGGTGGGGAGGGGGGAGACTCCTAAAGCCCCAAATGCAGGAACAAGCCATTTTGATATTAACACCAAGGCTTTAAACATCCAAATATTAGGCCTTGTGCACAGTCCTATCACACAAAAGACACTGCTATTCTGCTGATCTTAAACCCTAGTACAGGCAAGCAGCCACAGAGTGGGTGTCCTAGCAAAGTCATCCCCTTTCTGTTACTCAATCCGAGTGCAATATTTTCAGGCCATGGAGGGAGAGAAGCTGTCTGGCTTTACAAGTGAATCTGAGTTGAGTTTATAGCAGCTTCCACCACCTCTCAGGTTATCTGCTGGCGATCTCTACTTGCATCATGAATTGCCAGAGATCTTCTTGTACCAAGCATGGAGGTGTCAACAAATCAATTGCAGGCCCTGTAGCTGGATTACTGTACTTGTGAAGTCTGACACCATGAAGCAGCCGGTGCTCCTACAGTATTTCTGAATGCTATGATGTAACTGCAGATTGAGCCATATTAAAACAAACACATGGCAATCACACACATTGCAGTGATATTTCATCATTCATGGGTCTGAGCCATGCCAGCTGTAAGATATGTGGGACCCAGAATGGCAAATGCATTTCTGAAATGCTGCAGCTTCTCTCTGGCGAATGTTAATATTCAGATCTTTGAAAGAATAAGGGTTCAACTTGAGGTATTCATTTATGCAGGCCAATTATCTTGAGCATTTGCAGGGACAGAGGAGGCTGGACAGCTATTTTAAACCAAAATCAAGTCTAGAATAATGCACATGTTAAAATACAAGCTTAGTAAGCATCTTTTCACTGGAGCAGGGGTGGGCAAAAAGTACTTCTCCAGATACCTTGGACTTCAGCACCCAACAGTCTTCCTGACTACTGGCCATGCTCTCAGAGACTTCTAGTAATAAAACATGGAGATCCACATATCTGTTCTGTCCTGCCCTGCTTTTCCAGTGTTCTGCAGATGACTGGTGGGAGAATCAATATTATTCCTGTTTCCTGCCTCAAGCCCTAAATTTTAGAGGGGTTTCAGTGACTAGGCAACTTCATTTCCCATTTATAACCCTCCCAAATTTCTTTGTACTGCCTCTCCTTTTTAACTACAAACAAACTCAGTTGAGAAGGAAAGACAGAACAGCTGCATGATGCCTTTTGACTAGGAGCCCTTAATCGGGAAACACCCCATGTTTACAGGCAAGACAAACACTAATTGCAAGCCTGAATACATAAATATTGAACCTCCAAGATAAGAGATGCAGTCAATTGAAATCAAGCTGAGAATGTATCCCAAAACTGAACAGCCACATTTAGTTTGGGTGCTACATGTACTGATGGCTCTTCTAGATGAGACTTGAATTATTCCATTGCCTTGCTCACCGACTTTTACAGGCAGTCCACACATTGTCATGATCTGCTCCTTGTAACCCCTTCCCATCCTCCCACCACTTCTTTTTTTCTCTCCTTACTGTAGGAAATCAATTTAAAAAAAAAAACACACACACACACACACACACACACACACACACAGAATTACTGCCCAGTGCCCTAGGGCTTTTCTGTCTGGAAGTCTCTAATGCCTTCAGAGCATATGGCAGTGTGATGTATGCAGTGCTGTTGCCAGCCCTAAAATAAAACCTTTTGCAAATATAAAATTTAAGAAGAATTTGCATTTGAAATTAAATTTGTGTTGATGGCATTTAGTCCCAAAATTTGTACATTGGTACCCAAATTCATTTTTAACTTGAGATGCAAGGTTTATCACTCATATTTCAACAATACAGCAAATTGCACTGAAATACGAAGTTTGAAACTGTGCAAATTTGAATGTGTATGTGTTCTGTATGTATTTTAAACTAGTTCCACCTGTATGACTCACCACCACCGCATCATATCAGTGCCTTGTAGTTCTGAAGTGGTTCTTTGAATATCATACTATGCTGTTAACAGTCTTGCATATTGTCTTTAAAAACTGCAATCCTGAATTGGATCCCTGCATTTTTGCTATTTAAATCACCTTCTCTAACAGTGAACACAGGCAGTGGGTGCTGACAGAATCAAAATGAAGTCACTGAAAAACAAGCTGTGCCAGCATGCACAGTGGAACCTCAAGAAATAAGAAATACCGTTCTTAAAAATAGAAACTAGGAAAGACCACAACAAGAACAAAAAGCCCTATCCCAGTGAAAATGAACGTGGTCAGTTGACATGGCATGTTGAATTGTCATTGAAAAATCTTCTGCAAAATGGGCAAAGAATGGAAAGGCATATCCTGGAACAAGTGTTAGTTAGGAACTGCCCGGTATGCCTTGGTTGTTGGGTAGTACAGAAATGAAATAAGTACATACATAAAAGGACTACCCTTCTTAGGGAGTTGTTTGTTTCTTCTAATATTGAATGTGCTTTTGATGAATGGATTTAGGTGCTATGGTTTCCACAATTCCAGTTACCTCTTCTCACTGTACTATTTCCTTTCTGTCACCAGGCTATTCAACTCAAATGCAGCAAGTTATTACTTCCCGTTCAGACCAAGGTATGTGATAAATGGATAAATTATTTGATAGTTCCCTATGTCAGTGTTGCAACTTTCTTTGGAAAAAAAAACTTACCACAGAATATCATTAAGAGTTGTATTGTGCTTAGAGACCATTAATAGGTTGAAAGCAACAAATTGGTTCAGAAAATCGCCATGTCATCTCTTGATGTCAAACAATCACCATCATCAAGAGACTAAGAGAAACATGAAAAATTATCTGAAAGCTTTTGTTGAGAACACTCTAAAAACATACAGTCTTGAGCAGTCTGATTTTACCCTACTATGGGGAGAAGGTAGAAGAAAAGCTTAGCTACTACTTTCGAAGCTCCCACAGATGGATTAGCAAGGTATGCAATGCAATCTCAAAAGCATTTTAAGCTTCATTTTTTTCTCTCATATGGCCTGTTATATAACAAATGTAAAGGGACTTGAAATTATAGGATTTCCATTCATCAGTGAAATGTTCAGACTATACATTGAAGAAAATCTGGGACTTATTTCAGCAACAGTTTTTGTTATGAATTTCCACATCTGCAGTAAAACCAGTCCTGATTGTTGTGAGGAGCTGTTACCACACAGAGGCTCCTCTGAATGGCTTCCCAGTGTAATAACTATTCAGCAATGTAAGAAACTGACATGATAGCAATAAAGTAAGAGACTAAGAACCCGAAGCAGGTGTGGCTTCTTATGAATCAACAAACTATTTACATTGTAAACACCATTCTACCATGGATGTTCCTGTCACAGCTTCATGAGAACATGTGAATTGTTAGATTAGACCAAAGAGCCATCAAATCCAGCACACTGGCTGAGATCGCACAACATGGTAAGCAACCCTGCGTGGCTATGGTTTGCAGTTTTTTACGATGATCTGCCTGTGACCAGTCACTAAAGGGTAGTGCCCTTTAGATGTGTTGGGCTTGCAGCCAATGGCAACACTGGTGGACAGTAATGGAAGTTGTTCTATATATTTGAGTGGCACCATCTTGAGAAATGTTGCTGTGGATGATACTGTACCAGGTGTACCGATGGTATTATGAAGCTTTCTGGCCAAGATTTTCAAGTCATGGTGACCAAATTTGGTCAATGATCTTTATTCTGCATCCTGTTCACTGAGGGGCCTGCAAAACTTTGGCCATACCCCAACCTGTGGTATTTCTGCTGAACATTTTTTTCTCAAAGAAATAATGGTATAGGCTGTAATCCACGCCTTGCAAAGAAAGATTAGAAAGAATTCTACTGAACTCAATAAAAACAAAAGAAAAAGAATCTGCTTCTTTACAATGGGAAGAGGGGGGAAATGAAGGATTGACAGAACAATTCCTTGACTTTATTGCCTGTTAAAAGGCTACAGAAAATCATGAAGTACATCTGTAAGTGCCCAGCAGCTGCCAAGCAAATTTTCCTGGTTGATAAGGTGAGAGCAAGCATGGGGGTGGGGGGGGGGGGGGCGGACACAACTGTCATAACATGTCTCAACTTGAGGAAGGCACTGAGTCCCTCATGGTTCCTTTCTGCAATAGCCTGAGAAATGAGAATTGGCTTCAGATAGATACACATCACACCCTTATGTAGTTCACAATGAAAGTATACATAAAGATAGCATATTTTTATGGGACATTGACTCCATAATCTTTTAATACCAAAGTGAAGGGCAGGGCAATGAACAGTGAGAAGGGGAAATAACAGGGGAAGAAACAGTGGGTCTGGTGTTTTGGGCTGTTTAATGAAAGGTGAAAGATTTTGTGAAATAAAGTTGTGACTTGGAGAAAGTGTCTTCTCTGTGTGTGCGCATGTATACACATGCTGCATAAGGCCTCTAGTTACTCATCACTGAAAGAGGGGGCAAGAGAGGATAGATTTACATCAATCTTTGCATAGCTATATAGACACATACCTAATTTTGGCTATAATTTGAAGAAATGCACATTTCACCACAGTGGAAAAGATGGTTCTTCATCATTAAAAATGACTAGGACTGGACTACCTTTCAAAAGAGGACTATCCTCTATTCAGTATGGCCACACTTGGATTGAATGTTGTACAGGTGGAAGTCTTCTTCCTCAAAAGACCTTCAATCTCACCTCATCCCCATTGTAACCCCTTTAATCTCCTGAAGGCCTGGAATGTGGCAGAGAAAGCTGTTGTGGAAGGAGGAAGCCACCAATGGCTAGTCAGAGGCAGCTTGCTTAAAAAGAAGCCGACAGAGGATGCTGCTGCCACCCAACCTCCCCCAAGCCCCACCTCCTGCTACAGCTCCGCTCCCCACATTTCAGGTCTTCCCTGGGGATCCACTGACCTCAGGCTTTTGGGGCACATGGGAGGCAGAGGGGAAGGAGAAGGGGAAGTCGCCTCATTGCACTGGAGGCAACCCAGTTCAATATATGCTTAGCTATTGAATTCTTGTTCCCAAATTGACAAGCTCCAAAATTGTTCATTGTTTTAGGAACTCATGTGACAGTAGAGGTACATGCTAGAAATTCCACCCCACAGTTATTCAAGAAACGCTCTTTTGGGAAAGGTATGTAGCTCTTATAAAAGCAAACTTTTGTTTTTAAAGGTAAAGTATGCTGGTTGCGAAGTCGTGTCCAATGAAATTATATCAAATTGCATTCAAGAACTGGTATAGCAGAGTAATTAAGAGATTGAACTAAAAATTGGGACATCCTCAGTTCAAACCTTGCCTTTGCAACAAATTCACCAGGTGACATGAAAAACGTTTTTTTCAGGTTGGGTACCCATATCTACAATATGGGGGATAATAATATTGATTTATCTTACACGGCTACTATAAGAATTGCAACTAGGTCCTGCATATGAAGCACTTTGAAAGCATTATAGAAATATTAGTTTTTTATTAACAGCAACTTAAATAGCATTGGAGACCTGGCAAAAAGGTTGGGTTGTTTTTCCTGGGACATTGTAATATCCAAACAGATAATTTCAGCCAATGCTGAAAGAAACTAGAGAAAAAGCAGTGCCTTGGCTCAGTTCTCCTAAATCCCAAAACGTGCAGCTAGGTAATTTTTGGCCTTGGATTTAACAATCTTATGGAAACATCCTTTAGACAGTCTGTTTGTTTATAATACTTTGATACTGCTTGATATAACAAACTTGCATGCCTCTTCCCTGTCCTCACCACACCCCCATTCCATGCTTTACAGCTGCTTCTACTTCCCATGTTTAAAAGTGTACCAACTCAGGTAGCAAGAGAGCTTGTGCCAAGGTTGCAGACACAGCCGTAATTCAACAAAATGTATGTGATTGCGGGCCAAGAAACTGGTCCGTGGGATTGCGTGAGGAGTGGCCTTTTACAGGAGAGGAATGAATGCACACCACTCAGCTTCTGGGAATATCTGACAACATTGCAGGCCTCCCATTTGGGAAATGTAAAGATTGATTACCACTGTAGTCAACAACAAATCATTCTCTCAAAGAACTGCCAGGAAGACACAGACTGATGCAGAATGGACCAGATCATGCATAAATGTGATTGTCCAATCTTCACACTGAGTGAAGCTAAGCAAATGGCTACAGAGCTGCTCATTTTCTCCCTCAAGGCTGTCTACCTCACATTATTTTCACAATTTCCTAGGCTCTCAAGAGAAAAGAAAACACAGACCCCGTCCACCTGGCTTGGAAGACCAGCATGGTAACTACAGAGCTGTATTATACCTGCACCCCTCTCATACACTACAGTTTTCACAGAGGGAATACAATATTTAGAATCAGTAGAAATATTGTAAGAAAAGAGAAATACTCATATTGCATGGCAAAATATTATAAACTTATATTTAAGTATATAAGAATGTGAGGAGTTACCTATGCTGGGAATTTTTACCTACACTTGGTGACATACATGTAGTAGTAGTAGTAGTAGTAGTAGTAGTAGTAATAATAATAATAATAATAATAATAATAAACAATTGGTGCATTAGTTCTGGAAATCTGGAACTGTATACATCCTGTTTAGTTGTTATCAAAGCCAGTTATAATCCAAGAAACAAGGGACTGTAACCCATTCATAGAAGCCCATTTGATTCATGGGAGTTTTCTATATACAAGGGGAGAAAGGAAGTGGTTTTCACAAATTCCCTTCTGTGCCTAGAATAGTGTGAAGGTAGGAGAAATGGGGAACAAGCAAAACTTCCCTCCCTCCCTCTCTCATTCATTAAAACCTCTGCTGGGTCAAACAACCTTCTGTGAATGGAGGGCAGTATTGGATAGAGCCCTATATTATATTTTAGGCGTGTGGGCCTGGGAGCCAAATACAATCCTCGAGGTCCCACTTTTGCCCTAGATGGCTACACACTCTTCCCCTAAGTAAACATGCTTTCCCTTGACCACCGATTCCTTGAAAGTTCCCAGACTTAAGTGACATTTCCCCCCATTCTAAAAGATTGTAATTCTCCTCCTTAGGTTTAGTTAATGGCAGGAAGAGCTGTAAGCTAAAATATGCTGGTATGTTTGGTGCTTTGGTTCCACCCCTTTTGTCTTCCAACCTCTCCACACTGGAGTGTGACCCCCAAGTGCTGCTCTGAAATGGAATTCAGCCTTCAGGCTGGAAGCAGTTTCATGTTCCTGCTATATATCATCACTGGGCATATTGCTTACAAATACATTGGGTGAGCAGAGCAGGGCTGACAATATTGAGTATTACAATTACAATCTGCTGGACCCATTTTGACCACCAGGGCCTTCTTCAGCAGCATAAATATGGTGAGTATTCTCACTCTTCCAAATATGCATACTCTAGATACGTGTTTTCCCTGTAGTTAATCCATCTGCTTTGGTTGTTTAGAAAACGAAGTACAGCTCTGTAGACAAGAGCCCTCCTGCCTACTGAAGCCTCTGAATAAATACAGGTTTAGCTGCGAATGTGTACTCCAAGAATTATCAACTAGTTTTCATTGAGTTTTAGGAGACCTTGGTTTCCTTGAGGTTTTAATTTTCTCCTAATGTATACTTACTATCCATTTTCAAGAGTAAAAAGGGAATGCAAGGATACTATGTGAGCAGAAACAGACTTCTTTGTGCTAATCACCCTGCCCTGTTGGGATGCACACACAGAACAAATTGAGTCCTTGGAGCGCAGGGGGATGTGCCCAAGAGTGGAGTTCGGTTCTGTTCTGCTTTTGCAGAGCTACTAGCTCAGATCACCTGTTTAGAAGGGATCTAAGGAAGTGAATCTATGAGCTCCTTCCACACTTCTCCACCCCCTTAAGCGCAGATGATTGGTGCTCTTAGGCAATGGCTTTTGCCATCTATTTAGTGGGGAAGCCTTCAAGAACAGTAGTCTCCATGTGGCCAGCTACTGCCCATCAGGGCTCATTGACTCAAAGCAAAGAATAGTGCATGATCTGATTTACTTATTTAGGTATTCAGTAGAATCGTGAATTCCAGAAGTAAAACTTATATTCTGAAAATGCTATTAGTCCCATGGAAAGTAGGCAAGGTATATCACATTTTTTCTGATAAAGAAATCTTGCTGTTCAATTACACCAGTCTTCTTTCTAACTACCTGCCTGATAGCCATGAGTAACCCAAAGTTCCATACAGGTGAGCCAGCAGGCTGGTGGAGATGGATTTATTTACTTATTTACTTATTTACTTATTTATTCTTCCATTTATATGCTGTCTAGTACTGAAGTCTCAAGGGGGCTTACAATAAAAAATAAAATACATATAACAATAAATACAGAATAAAACTTCATTATCAAAATTTAAAACCTAACTGAATCACAACAAAGTGAGCAGTGCGAAGGGGGGCAGGATCAACCACTAAAAGTGATATTAAAATGAAACATTTTTGCCTGGTGCTGATACAGTAGTAATGACGGCGCCAGGCAGATGTCCCTGGGAAGACTATTGCAGAGGCAGGAAGCAGGCACTGAGAAGGCCCTTCATCATTTTACCATCCCTCTCAGCTCTTTGAGAGATGACACTGGCAGAAGGGCCTCCTGGCCTGATCTTAAAGGATGGGCAGGTTCATATGGGATTGCTCCATGCCACCTCTGCCAGTCCACTTGGCTTCTGTGCTATCTGTAGAAGAAAGAATACCTCTTCCTCCATGATCAGCCCTCCTCCACCAGTCTGCTTGAAATGGGGGGATTCGTGTTATTCATCCAAGAGACTAGTAGCATATATTTCCACGCTGTGAAAGAGAAGGCTTTTCCTCCTCTGTAACTAGTATGAAAAGGCAGGCTACTGGTCTCTTAGCAGACTAGTGATTTGTAATCTGTTACATGATTGAACATTCACCTTGGCACCCCTCTTTAGCATGTAGATTTCTTTTCACTGGACATGTTTTAGCAGAGTATGCTACTTTAAAGTAGACCTCCAATTAAGCATTTGAAATGAGGACCATCAGCACCTGCCAATGTTAGACACATTTCAGTATGACCGTGCCCAAGTGAATGCAACCTACCAGCAGCCTAGACCCTATTCAAGCTGCTAATGCTAACAGTATATGACTGTAAGTTATTGTGAATTCTGCAGCTGTAGGGAGCCTTTTCAGTTATAGCCTGACAAAGACTAAAAACTGATCACCAATTTGAAGAAACTACCCAGCTCCCAAATGGCAAAAAAGTAATTTTCTAAGCTATATAGAGCAGGAACCTTTTAAGTGCGTAAATCTGCTTCAGTTCTCTTTAGGTCAGTTTAATAGCTCTCTTCAGCAAAAGGCCAGGTAAACAAACAACCTTTTTAAAGTGATAGATGCTGTGTGTTTGAGTGATAGGTTGAGACAGACAGATGGCTGCTCAGTGCATTAGGTGACAGCATCCACCCCACCCCCTCATCTACAGTTGCTCCTTCACTAATCGCAATCTACAAATTAGGTTTTCGGACCAAACCAAAGGAATTCTGAAGCTTGGGTTTCTGGCACAGTGCTTTTATGCAGTACTGTCTTCCCTATCCCTGTAAGTTCAGACTTAGACACAAAAGAGTAGGGAAAATTCTGTGCTATCTGGCTCTCATATCAGGAAAGGTGTGACACACACAGATGTTCCCAGCTTTATGAGACACCAGCTGCAAGGCAGATTATTTTGCTCAGATGAGTATCCATTGAGTTACTGCTGATCAACAGCACAGCTTCCATAGGGTGAATGTAATACTGATTTCCAGCTCTGAGCCTCTGCACATCTATAAGTATATATGAGCATTAGGAAAGCCCTGTGAGATCAGATGGAAGATCTGAAATTAAGAGATGGATGGGCTGGCAAGGCTTGTGGGATCTTTCCTTTTTTTTTCATGAGTCCTGAGAAAAATTGAAGAGAACCTCATGCAAAAGTCAGACACTTAGAAATAAGGAATTCTGAGCTCAGGAATTTTTCTTGAATACCAGGACAGATCAGAACTAACACTCCTTCTATATAAAAATTCACTCCTGGTTACTCCAGACTTTCTTCATTTCAGCAGTGAAATGAAATACAAGGCAGGGAAGAGTCATTTTGTGGCTGCTATTGCCAAACAAATGGGAATCAGATGCACTTGATCATCTATTACCAGTCAGTCTGAAATGTACCAGTAGATAAAAATCTACTTTCTGCTTATCCTTGGGGTGGTAGGGGATAGATGCAAAAAAGAAAAAAGTCCAGGGCTCCTGTACCTTTAATAGCTGAGTAGAGGTAGGAATGCAAGTCACACCTGCTGGAATTCCCTCTTCTACAGAATGAGTAATGTTTCAGAAAGCCTTTCTTCTTTTGGATCAGACTGCTCAAACCTTTGGTCTGATACGTTTGGCCACCCTAACAATCCCTGACTGCATGTTTGTTTCCAGTTTACCCATGGGACAAGGCCTGCTTGAAATCCATACCTTTTGACCTGAAGCAATTTGAGAAACTGGACACATATGCAAGAAAGGTAATATATCCATATATGTAATGAAGGCCATTACATCATGTATTCAAACTGAGCTTCCACCAGCACTCTTGTACCACTGGTGTGTGTCTGTATACATCTTCATCCCCCTCACTGCATGAGGCATGTGCGTGTGTGTGGATATTCAAACAACCTACTTGACAGAAGATTATGGGAATTGGCCTTTGGCACACATTCATAATGTATTGAATATCCTGGAAACTGGGTTGTTGACTAAGCGATTTATGCAAAACATACTTGGCAGTTACCAGACTTTTGACAAATTAGGAAATAAAATTTGCAACGTCTTTTAGCAGCAGAGTCTATTGCTCATTGACTCATTCAGACAACCAGTTCCACTTGAATAGTATGTACCCCACAAGTAATCCATCTTTACTGTGTGTGTAATTTCTGTGCTCCCATGTTGTGTTTCAGCTTCTCTATTGAACACATCCTTTCCACAATCATCTTAACCAGTCTATTGACTCCTATGGGAGCAGAGCAATTCAGAATTGTTCATAATTTTAAATGTGAAGTGACAACCAAATGGAAACAGGGTTTCCACAGAGACACAGGCTGCAGAAAAAGGATAGCTTACATTGCTTGGAAGTAAGTCACACAATGTTTGATAGGACTTACCTTCTTAAGAGTGTGTCTAGGATTACAGCCCTAGATGGGTAAGCATCACGCCCCTTCCAAAAAATGTCACTACTCTTACTGAAACTCAGTATAGGAAGCTGCCTTATATCACATCACATTGTCCATCTACTTTGATATAGTCTGCTCTGATTTGCTCTGAACGTCTTAGGTGGAGATGCCAGTGACAGAAACTGACACCTTCTGCCATCACCAATCCTTTGCCATTCCTGTTTCCACTAGAAATTCTTTTGACTATCTAAGCTCCTTTAAGAAATATTTTGATTTATTGTATTTGTATGCCACCTCAAAGCCCAGGAGTTCTCTGGGTGGCTCACAAAAAACAGAACAATGTAACGGTAATAAAATAAAACAGTAACATCTAAAATAGCATAAAATCAACGAATATAAGGTGTGAAACAGGAGGATAATACGAACAATAAAAAGAACCTTAAAACCAGCTGCAAAGAGCAAATAAAGCCACCATTGTAAAAGCAGGTACTAAAAACAAAGTCTTTACTTGGTGGCAAAAACAGAATGATGAGGGTGTCAGTCACACCTCTTTAGGAAGAGAGTTCCAAAGATGAGGTGTGGTAACAGAGAAGGTCCTTTTTCTTACCAGTTTCCCCCTCACTTCATCTGTGGGAGGGGTTCATGAAGAAGAGCCTCCACTGAAGATCTAAGTGGTCTGGTAGGGATATATGAGACAGGCATTCCTTTAGATATCCTGGTCCTAAGCTGTTTAGGGTTTTGCACGTTAGTGTAAGCACTTTGAACTGGGCCCAGGCAGTAACAGGAAGCCAGTGCAGTTGGCAGATGTGATAAGCTCTCTAGGACTGGTCACTGCTTTGTTTTGGATTAATTGGAGTACTCGGACTATCTTCAAAGGCAGCCACACATGGAGTGCATTACAGTAATCCAGGTGAGAGGTTACCAGTACGTGGATAACTCTGGCAAGGCTCCACTCGTCCAAGTAGAAATGTAGCTGGAAAATTGCCCTAAGCTGATGGAAGATGGTCCTGGCCACTGAGGGCACCTGTGAAGCAAGTAGCACCTCAGGGTTCAGAAGTACCCCCAAGCTATGAACCTTATCCTTTAAGGGGAGCACAACCCCATCCAGGATGAATTGAAGATTTCCCAGTTGGGCAGATGGGCTGCCCATCAGCAGTACTTCTGTCTTGTCTGGATTGAGTTTGAGCTTATTGGCCCCCATCCAGTCCATTACTGAGCCAACACAGACTTAATAAGTCTGAGTGAAATAATTCATGTCCCCTCAAAGTTTCACTTCAGGAGAAACTCCAAGATGTGCTTCCAATTTCACTGTAGGCCAGGATTCATTGACAACTCTGATATCAAACAACTTGCTAAATATTTCTTACAGAAGCAATAGAATGTGTTGTCTTCTGTCTATGCAGCTTCTTGATCTTCAGAACAAATACTCTATTGGCTGGCTGAGGAAAATGTGCTGCTGTAAAATCTCATCTTTGGCCTGAGGGTTGAGCATATCTGGCTGACAACAATCATGCCATGTGAAAGGAAACAGTTTAAATAGAATCTAGTTATGGCTAGTTAGAGGCTGAACATATCCAAAGGGCATAGGCAGAATAGGGGAGAGTAATCCTATCTGACAGTATCTTTGAAGCTTGTAAAAGTCTTGCTTCCTAAAGCAGAGGTAGCTGCCAAGAGCAGCATGACAGAGCTGAAGAAAACTCTGCTCCTATCAACCTGGTGACTAATAAATCAGGTTCCTAAACAAAATATATCAGCTCCTAAAAGTCTCCATCAGTTTGACCAACAATGTTCTTCCTGTTCTCCACAGCAAATGCATTATTTATAGTGGTTCCCCCAACTTGGGGCCTTCCAGTTGTTCTGGACTCTCATCAGCACCATAGCTTACGGCTAATTGTCAGGAATTCTGCGAGCTGATGTCCAAAATATTTGGACAGTCCAAGATGGGGAAGGCTCTGTAAGAGAGCTAATACATTTTTGTAAAAAATATCAAGGACTTTGTTGGCCAATCCAACAAAGTGCTTCTGCCAGATAACAGATAGCAAGAAGCCTGTATGGACTCCTCTGAATTGAGTGAGAAGGCAAGAAAAGTAATCTGACTTCATAGTATTGTCTTATTTAAAAGTAGCGATCTGTTTTCTTCTTACAATACAGGTCACTGCCAAGAATAGTGTGGAGGAGCTGGTTAAAACCTTACTCCGTGTAGCACATACTGACCTGGAAAAAGTGAGGGCCATTTGGACATGGATATGCCACCATATAGGTAAGAAGAGAACTCTGACCTTCCCTAGAACCTGTGTATAATGCTGAGCCTGTTGTTTACATTGTACTGTACAGTGGTTCTAGAAGTCTGTTTTACACAAGGAGTGGGTAATATAGGGAGGGAGCATATAAATAAAAGGTGTGTATGAGCATGGAAAATCTGCATGGTAAGGAACTCCAAAAGACTTTTAACCAACACAGGCAGCTACCAAACAAGCAGTTGAATGCTACTCAGCAGTCCCCATGTTCATAAGCCATTTCTCAATTCCCAGGTATAACAAATGTAAAATATTGTGGTTTTTTGAGCCATTCTGGACCTCTCCCAACTCAGATTTGGTGGTAAATTAGTGCTGTGTTGTTACAACACAGAAGCCTGGATAGCAGGTTTCAACAACAGTTAACAGTAGATTTATGATATGGGAGGGAGCCTTGCGTGGGACTATTGGGTGTAGTTTATAAATCCAATAAATAAATAATACCAAAAAGTCCTGCCAGGTTACTGGAATTACATTGGTATCTTTGCCTTTTCCTCTGCGGCAAGAAAAAAAACAGTTGGGGTAGCAACTTAGGCAGAAACTGGCTAAAGGGGAAAGGGTTAGGCAACTCCCCTTCCCCCTCTCCTGCTTAAATGGCAGTCTCTGGCCATTATTTTACTATCTTTTGTCATTTTAAGTCACTGGAAATGTACATTTAACATGCATATCCAAGTTGGGTTTCATTCTATAGACTGAAATCCTGCACATTGTGATCAGTTAAAAACCTGAAAGTCAGTGCCAAGGGCCTGTTTGAGCATGTAATTGGTATGTACACCTACAATTTTAGAGACTTTCTAAAGTCTAAAGGCTCCAAAGAAAAACACACTATTTATGGTGCTCATGAGAATCTAAATTTCCATGTTTGAAAAGAAGAGTAATGAGAAGGAGTTGAAGGTATACCTTCACATATGTATCCCTATGTTTTTGGAGGTACAAAAGCTTACCTGGTTCTCCAGTCACTTATAATAATTTAATATTTTGGCATTCTGGCACCATGTTTATTTCATAATTCCATCAAATAATGGAATGCTATGTCAGCTCTGGAAAATTCTGCAGCCCTTGCTGTATCAGCTCTGAAAAATTCCATAGATCTGTGGAAGATTCTACATTGCCCTAGGTGTAAAGGGCAACTGTTGCATTCCAGCAATACAAAGAATCTAAGTTTGCTACTTTAAGGGGCGATATGGAAAGATAATATCTCTTCTTAAAACACCGATGGGAAAAGTATAGGAGAGTTTTACATACAAACTTTTTTTTGGGATTTGGCATATGATTAGTGATTAGAAAATTTCATTTGATTCTTGTCTTAATGCAAACCTACTGAGTTCACAGTTCCTGAATCAATAAGCAAACAAAAAACAAAAATATTCTTCGGTATTCATGGTTTCCTGAATTTTGTGTTGCAGTTCTCAGATTTAAAAAATGAATAGAAAAAGAGTATATTTTAGAGGGAGATGTGCACAAAAATGCATATTTTGGGGAAAAATACAAAAATGCATTATACTAAGAAAAATTGCATGGAAATATATACATTAGGAAACATATATGCAAAAATATTTAAAATGTGTTAACTTTTCAAAAATCTATCTTGCAAACTGATGCAGAAACAGGACATTATGGACTTGAGAGTGTAAAAAAAAAAGTGTGCACGTGTGTGCTCCCACACACACACACACACACGCACGCGCCACTGAGAGTACCTGAAGCTAAAAGGTTAATGCATCCTTATTCAGAGGGATCAAAAGGGGGCCAACTATGCAGGTTGTGTCTTTGGTACCTGTAAAGAATTGAATGTTCCTTCTTACTCAGCACAGCTCTGTATTGCCTATAGTAGTTTCTGGTAAACAGATATTTCCAAGGTACAGAAAATGTAATTTCCTACAACTTGTTTTGCTTCACATGTGTAACTAACCTTTCACTTTTCTTCTCCCAGAATATGATATTGTGGGCTTTTTTAATAAAGACCAGCAGTCATTCAAGCCCAAGGATGTCCTTCAGAGTGGAAAGAGCATTTGTGAAGGATATGCCGGGCTCTTTGAACAAATGTGCAGGTACATTAATAGCAGAAATTATCAAACCTATAGCAAGATTCAGTTGCCCTGTCACCTGGGTACCAATTCTGTCTCCATTTACACCAACTAGGATTTCCATCCTCATTTTGAAGCTGTACTGTCGAATAGCAGCAAGTGCTAGAAAGGTCAATTTTGCTCCAGCACCCCCAACATAATTTACTTTGCACCATCTGCTGAGGCTCGCATTGCATTAACATAATGGCAGATGAGAACCTGGGTATAATTTAGTTAGAAGAGACTGTTTTTCCTGGAGTATGTGAAGGTTAAAAGGACAGCAGGCCAGGAGACTAGAGTTGGCCCTGCATGGCCCATGCTTTGGAAAAGGGGAAAGATGAGCTTGCCTGCTTCCTTTACAAATGCCCCCGCACTCCTAAAGCAGGAGCACACTTGCACATAAATTAGACGGTTAAGATTTAGCCGTGCAAGCAATGTAATTAATTTCCAACTGACTGCTCATGAAATAAAGCTGTAAACATCCAGCTTACTCCTCAGAAAGTATGCCTTTCCTGTCAAACTTGGTTTTATGCATGAAAAAAGTGTATGAAAAAAGCCATTTCCCCTTGGACAGAGGCAGTACTGGGCTCTGCCTTCACATAGCTGTCATTTTCTTAAGCAGTGAAGCAGAACACCCTGACTTCCTTTGTTTTCCCCCCATAGCAAAGAGTGACAAATGGTTGATTCTGAACTCCTGCACTCCAAAACTGTACTGTATCCCCCAACGAAAAGCATCAAGGTGTGAGGGAAAGGTAACATATTCCTGACTAGGTTTGTGCATGCACTGAAAGCACTGGGAGTTCTGTTAACTGAGATGCAAGCATCCTGGATCAGCAGTCACAAAATAGCAGCTGTAAAATAAGAGAATATTAGCTTAGCAAAAATATGTGAACCATATTAATGCTCTACAATTGTTGTTCTAATAACCTGGGAGCAAACTTCGATGTAGCAAAAAGGTCCTTTTCTCAGCCTTTTATTGTCATCTTACTGCACATCTAAGCCAATGGAAAGAAAACATAGGTTAGGACCTACTGTTCCTTTTCTGAGTGATTTGCTGCAGACAAGTAGTTTTCTGATTCCCAGTTATTTAGCGGTGGCAATGAGACAATATCTCCCTTCAAAATGAGCCTGCTGAAATAAAGAAGGCTTGGGATAATGTATATTTGTGTACAATGTGCAGTGTAAATTTGTGTGAAAGGATTCCAAGCTGAGCTCAGTTCAGGTGCTGAAATCACATTCCTAGGCTCAGCATGTGGTCAGAGGGACCCTGTTCTTTAATTCTAAGTACCTGCCTCTTCACATCCAGTTCTATTTGGGGAAAACCAGGTTGCCTACCTGTAACGCCATTCTTCGAGTGGTCATCAAAACTATTGAGCTTCGCTTCGGCCTGCCCAGAGCACTGGCCAATGGCTGCTTCTTCACCCTCATCGCTGGCAACGTCCTTCATAGCAACAAGGGCACACTCCCACATTTCCATTCTGAGGCGACCAGCCCTGTTTTTCTGGGCCTGCTTGGTGAAGACACTTGTCCACATGATGTTTCTCTCCCAAGCAGAAGAGGCACAGGGAGTGGCCATCGGTCAATGGCATTTTCACTCCACAGTCCACACACTTGCAAAATGCTGGGTTTAGTGACGTCAGGAGAGAAAAAGAGAAAAGTAGAGAGAGTAAGAATATTGAGGCAAGAGATGATAAAAGGGAGGGTTTTTGTGAGGTAATAAGTTGGGGGTCATGAAAATGGGGAAAAGTGAATGAGAAAGGTGAAAGGGTCTTAGAAAATTGAGAAGAGGCAAGGAATAAAGTTGTAGTAGTGAGGAAACAAGTCTGAGGTAAATGGCTAAGATAAGAGCTAGAGATCCCGAGGCACTGCAAACAGTATTTGAAAGTGAACTGAGAAAATGGCAGAGGCCTGCCTATGGCGGGAAGTGGGGCAGGGTTCCTGCTCAAATTCTAGGTTTAGCTAGAGGAATCTTCCCAAACATAGGCACTGTGCAGGTGCAGCACTGTATGTGTGATGCACAGAGACCACAAAGAAGAACTCTGGTTTTAATAAAAACTAAAATAGATCGAACCAGCCTGAAGTCTGCCCTACCTGATCTAAGCAATAGTGACATTCTCCTCCAAGCCATTTATCTGCATGGTAATGGATGGATCGCTTAGCATTTGTGATCTAGGGAGCAAACTTACTTTGCCTTATCTTTTCTGGCTGGCTGTAAGATATTTCAGATTCCATGTCCTGGAGTCTTTAACCCTACTCCCTGCCATCTCACAACACCAGCTGCTCTCTGAGGTCGGGAAAGCAATTTTAGCAATAGATAGAAGGGAAGTGCCAGGCTACAAGTCAACATGGGGCCTTTCTAGCACTTTTCTTCCACTTCTGAAATGCTGTTGCCAAAAAGAGCTGTCTAGAAAAAAAAGCAGAGGGGTGGCAGAGGGCAGTGGAGATCACCTTCACTGCACCTTCAACTCTGCATTGACTAAATCTGAACCTCCAACTTTGGGGGCTGACTCTCATCTCCATAGGATTGTACCCTCTGTTTTAGGAATATGGGTTTTCAGTGCTCGGCCCTCTTATCCCGAAGAGTGCAACCCACTGTTGTGTTCCAGTGCCCAAATCTCAGAAATGTTTTTGTTTCAGCATTTGAGTAACATCCAAGAGCACTGTCACAGGGTCATGGTGGTATGTCTGCTGCAACAGCTGCTTTACTTGGCAGGGCTGGCAAGGAAATGCCTACAGTTGGAAGATGAAGGACGTTCACAGAGGATAATCAATTCTCTGAAAGAAGTGAATAGTGGGGGGGAGGGGGTCTTGCCCTTCTCAATTTTTAACACAAAAATAGCATTGGAAACAAATGGGCTTGACAAGACTGAATCAATCTTTATTGTTGGCAACTTCATTATGAACCGCACCCTTTCTCATAACATTTGTTAAAATGATGTTGAACTGCCAGTTTGGCACATGGAGGCAGAAACTGCCCCAAATTCCAGAGCCTTGCTGACTTGGGCAGCTGTCTAGGTTGGCAACCCCAGAATTTGCAACAACAAAGTTAATTGACTAAGGGCAGCTCTGACTGGGTGAACAAAGCACCAGCTTGGCAGGGGAAAATGGCAGCATGCAAAGACATTTATGTTTCAGCAGTTTAATCAGAAATCAGTGTTGACTCAATGAGACACTTTGGGAAAGAACCAGCCTGCCCATTTTCTTCTTTCGTTGGTGCTATGGATGTGCCTTGTCTCCGGCCATGCCCTTTGTCACAAACAATTATCTCCATTCTCCACATGCTTTACTCAAATAAGTCTCCTCTGTCATATGCCTTCCCCAAGCCCTTCCATTTTTGCTTTTTTCCCCATACTCCTTTTATTCACATTGAAGTGACCAAATCAGTCTACTGTGTTGAACAGAAGGTCATGCCATTCACATAGTACCATTGTAATTTGTAATGTTTTCCAGACTATTTTCTATTCCCTTTTGAAGCAGAGGCTAACATCTTATTTGCTTTTAATCATCTCCATGCATTGAACAGATGCTTGCACTGAATTGTCCGCAATGATTGTATCAGTGTTGGCAATCAATTCCAATTGTTTTGTTCAATCCTTGTTGCTACAACTTTAATTTCATCTACCATCACACTGTTCAAGCTACTGGCTTTGTCAAGTGCCAAGGGAGCTCTTCAAATCCCTCGTTTCTTATTGATGAGTTAACAGTACAGAGAAAAAACCTGGTTAGACTATCTCCGCACCATATAGTATTGTCCACTGATTATTGATTTATACTCTATATACTCTATCCTTTTTTAAACTGAAGTTTGTAAGGCCGTATACGTTAAACCAGAGAAAATGTCACTGAAAAAATGCAACACATTTTAACAGTAACAGACACAGCAATATAAAACAGTGAGTGAGATCAGCAATAAAATGCTGCACCACTCAGTGAGTCAGGCTTAGCCTTTTCTAGGGCACTCCAACCCATCACATCTCCCTAGCTTTCCATTTTTTCCCATCCAGTAGTCAGCTGGCATTCTGTGGACACCAAGTGCTCTCAGACTTCAGTGGGCTATTTTGGAGTGCCCCGCGCTTTAGGATTTTTTCCTTAAGCTTTTAAAACATTTTGAATTCCCCCTTTAGCATGGGCAATGTTGCTTTACCTACCCAAGCAATGGCACTTGCAGCTAAACAGCAGAAATAGAAGAAATGATCCAGAACCAGAATCTTCAAAGTGTCTGTCTATGTAAAATCAACTTTACAACCTACCCGAAGGCAACCAGCAAGGGACACAAATGAAGTTTTGTTAGGAAGCTGCTCTTGGTTACCCATATGCCTTATCTTAGATCTCAAATAGAGTGGAGGCTGAAGACAGGATCACACAGAAGAATGTGGTTCCTGAGTTTTCATTCTACTTACTCTGGCCCCAAATCATTTAGAACGTTAATATGTCAAAGCCAACACTTAAGAACCAAACTGGGAAACAGTGAAGCTGGATAAACATAGTATGATATGAACAGGGAGCTCCCACTGGGACCCTTGCAGCCCTATTCTGGAACAGTTGTTGCTTGCAGACTGTTTTCAAAGGCAGACCCCATGTAACACCAAATATAGTAATCTGTCCTGAAGGCTTAGGTACAAATCAGCATATTTTGTTTGCAATGCCTAAAAGTCTTGTGGCATTTGTGTAAGTTCAACAGAACTAGTTAAAGCTCAATTTCACTGTTGTCCAGATGGGCTGCTGGGCCTGCCTGCTAGCAGTTATGAACAGAGGAGCTGAATCATAAGCACTTCCAGCCTCATAGATTATATCCTCCTTTGGGGACAATGAAAAGGGCAAATTCTCATAAATACAGCACTATTCTGATTGACTGGAGGAGGCTGGGGGCAAACAGGCAGATGGGACTATCACAGACATGGCTCCAAAGTAGGAAGAAGATATTCAGACCACTTCCCTCTTTAAACATGGGCCTTTAAAGCATCTTGGCCTTCCTGTTTTGTTCAAGAAACTAAGGCTGGTGTTTTCAGCAATCTTTACTTATGCAAGACCTTGACAGCACATGGGAGAATCAACCCAAAAATAGTTTGCAGCCTGATAATAAATTGTTTCTCTTAAGTTAACTTCAAGTTAACATTGCAAGAGACATTCAGTCAGAACAAAAAGTGAAAGTTGACATACACATATTGCACAGGTAGGATAATATGGAATACGCTCCATGGAAGTCTGCAATGAGTAATAAAGACCCAAGTTTGCTGAATGATAAAAGGACAGCCCTTCAGAAATGAAATGTTTTGTGCATTCTTTTCTTCCCCTCAGTATTGCGGGAGTGCAGTGTATGAACTTATCTGGGTATTCCAAAGGACATGGTTACAAGACTGGGCAGACCTTTACAGGAGAGTATGACCATGCCTGGAATGCAGTTTATCTTGATGGAAGGTGGCACTTGGTGGATAGTACATGGGGTAGCGGCTCCATTGATGACTGTTTCAGCAAATTTACTTTCAGGTACAGTCTTATTCCTTCCTCTACCCACTTGAAATAGCTGAGAGACATAGGATTTGGATAATGCTAAAGAATTCTCCAAATGCTTTTGCTCCTCTTAATGCTGTTTTCACATATATTTGTCTATTTTTCAAAATCCATGCCTGATCTGTTTATACAAAAATTCTGCAGAGAACAGTCTTTTTAAGTTATGATGCACATTTACATCACTGTGATACTGCGTGTATTAAGCACTCTTAATGGCCAGAGATGCATTTTTAAAATGAACTTTGGATCAATAGAAAGTGTGTTTCAGTAGGTGGAAGTTTGCCTTTGCTACAAATGTGACAGATCACACATCAGGTAAATTTCATCAACATTGTTTTCACCATTGCGGGAATGAGAGTTAAGAAAAGCTTTAGGTTTATAAGTATATTTGTACTAGATTGTGCTGAAAAATAATTTAGAGATTGTGCTTCTTACAGTTGATGCAGCCCATTCAAGACTGACAGGCCTAGATCAACATAAACATGCAGGGATTTGACTACTTAAGAGAGCAATCACATGGCCCCTGAAAGGCCGTAGGGTATTTTAGATTCCAAACTCCACTCTGCCCTCCTTCCCCTAGTGTGGAAAGAACTAAACTGGATGCCTCTCTGAGGTTGGTAATACAAGCTTGGGGGTGGGGGTGTAAAAGGGGTTTCAGACAACATCAGGTGCTTTTGAGGTAGTATGGCCATAGACTTCCAGGGGAATGGCAACTTGACATAGCATCACTGCTTCATACCTTATCTCATTTAGATGTTTATAAAATGTCTTTGAGAGGGTCTTTACCTCTCTAATGACAGGTGGGCTAGAAGACTTTCAGGCCATAGCTCTGATTACAGTGAGATGGCCAGATAAGCTAAAATGAAACATTTTATTGAGTCAAATCCCCATGCATACTGTTTTTTCTTTTTTCTTTTTGTTTTGCTTTGTTTTTACTTTATCCTACTTTATTTTACATATATTTTTCTTTTTGTATTCGGTTTAAGAACATTATTTGAAAAAATGAAAAACAGAAAAAAGGAGTGTTTCAGTGGGTAGGGAAGAGACTAGAAATGGCACGACAGGAGCTATTCTGAGACCCCCATAGTCTACCCCCCACACCCAAAGTGCTATAACTAGACCAACAAAAAGCATGATGGGGAGGACATGTGATGATTAACTTCTCCACTCTCCTATCCTGCATAAGAAGAAAGCAAGCTTCCAAATTCTGGGGCTTATGATTGCCATAATAAATTGTGAATTAAGTTCCAAAATTCTGTATTTTGGAAAAATAATCTTCCTAATGCCTACAAGAGATTTCCTTCTCACCTGCCCCTGACAGCATGCTGCATTTCACATATCACATTTACGGAATCCACATCCTTAGGTTTATCCTGCTTTTGTTTTAAAAATAGACATTAAGGCTTCCAAGGTAATACCTGAAAAGTTAGGTGGATAATGGGCACTGTGCCATGCATTATGAATGAATTACTCATGAATTACTGAGGCAGAATTTGAACAATGCAAAGTTAGAAAGATGAACCAAATTTGCTTACTTTGAATCAGAGAGTTTGAAGGTTAGGTTTCATGGGCTCAGAATTTTTTTTTCCTGTCCAGACTGGGGTCTTTGAACAATAGTAGTCTTTTGGAGAATAGGGTGGGGTCACCAAATCCCTTAATAATACACCTGCTATTCTGTTTTACTGAACTGAATAATTACTATAATTACTCATTACTAAATTGTTCAACCCACAGAAAATAAAAGCTCCTAAGTAGAGTACACAAGGAATTGCATTCTAGGGCCTTAAACCAGCCTTCCTCAACCTAGTGCAGATGTTTTGGACCAATGCCGATCATGCTGAAGCAGTGTGGCCAATGCTTAGGAATACCAAGAGTTATGGTTTATCTCCATTATGTTGCACAAGTCAGAAGGTCAATGTCTGAAGCTTAGCAACATGTGTAGATTATCCATGTGATTCAAATCCCAGAAAAAGCAGGTTTGTATATCACATTTGGAGCTTATCTGCACATGACTAGAAAAGACTCCTGCTGCTGCTATTTGCCTCTAATGTATGGAGGACAGCAAGGGTGGCAATAGAAGGGAACAGAGCTAGCGTGTTTATTGTCCCCTGCATGTTTTGATTCTACTCAGAAGAGCAATGCAAGGCTATAGCTAGGTGGTTTTCTATGATTTAGCCTTCTCCTGAAGTTGTAATTACTAGTCTTAACCTGAAAAAGAAACTACCACAATAATGTGGCCTGTAGAAAATTCTTAAAGAGCCAGAACAGGAAGAAAGCACAGCTGATGTGGACCTTTTGCGATGTCATTTTCCCGAACAGATGTCAAGCCCACGAACTCTTCCCTCCCTTGGTGCATCTGCTTAGCACATCAATTTTCATCTGTTTAGCCCAGAGATTCCTATTACATACAAAATTATGTTTGCTTACCAACCATAATCTATGCTTTATTAACCAGGTTGGTAAGCTTACATTAAGCTACAGCTTATTTCAGACGTAATGGGAAACTCTAATTAATGAAGACCATGAATGATTCCTGCAGCCAGTAATACCATATTTGAACTGGGCCACCAATAAATTACACTTGAGTAAACCACCTAGCTTGACTAAATGGTCTACTCTACAGTGTTCTTAACCAAATTGATCTAGCCTCACTTTTACACATTTCATCTTTTGCTTTGTAGGCCTCTGCTGTGCTACTTACAGTCCAGTTCTATGTGTACTTTGAAATAAACTCCATTTATTTCAGTTCAGAGCTATTTCTATACTTAAATATGCTTACGATTGCAGACATAGTTGTGGTGTAAGGGTGGAAGTTAAGTGTACTTTGCCAATGATATATTGATCTCTCCCTTTTGTTCCAGATACAATGAATTCTACTTCCTCACCCACCCCGCCCTATTTATTAATAATCATTTCCCAGACAACAGCAACTGGCAGCTACTCAATCCAACAGTGACATTAAAACAGTTTGAGAGCAGCATGTTATACAAGAGTGACTTTTACAAGATGGGATTGCTGGCAGCCCATCCAGAAACACCCATTATTCAAACAGGTACAATCATACAGTCTCTTGCCACACAGAGATATTATCATAAGAAACTCTTCCAACTTTTGGCAGAAAAAAAGATAAAATAGTAAAGGTTAGACTGTAGGCTGTTGCTTTATTATTTTTAAAAAGATTAACTTTGTGGGACTAAACCACGGGGGTCACAATTCTATAGTCCTTAGACATACTTTCACCCATGGAATCCCAATTTGTATGAAAGCCAAAGCACCATTCCCTAGTCAGATTGCATAGGTCCTTAGTTTTATATTCCATCTTGAAATGTAGGCAAAAAGTTTTTTAAAATGAGGATCTGAAATATGGGTGCATATAAGTATGCTGGGTTTCAGAATCTCCCAGCTACTGCCCTTGGTGTAATTCAGAACCTAACTATAGAATGAAGAACCTCATTTTGGAATCTTGTCTTTTGAACTCCCTTGGCTTTCTGTGAACACTGACAGCTTCTAAGGAACTGTAGTCAAAAGTGCAGGCAAGTTGAGAACTGTAACTGAAAGCCAAATATGCTTTCATCTTTTCTCAGAATGATGAGCAGTTCTATTGCATTTGTAATAAAAGAGTAGCAAACAAGCACCCCAAACTGATTTCTTCCTACTTTGAACCCTCTTGCTGTTTCTTCTGAGTGAATTTGGATTTGACAGAGGCTTGACAAACTTCAGTCAGCCAGCCATAATATTCTCCCTTTTACTTACAAAATGATTGACAATACAGCAGGATAGTCCATTCTCCTGGTCATTTTATACGGGCCTCTTGAATGACTTGTGTTTTTGAGTAAATGGTAGGAAACATCCTAACAAGCTTTCTTTATTTGCATGTCACAGTAAATGGGAAAGTAGCAGTAGTGGTGGAGACCCGTTCCCCGATGCTCTTCATGTTTGAGTTGAAAGGAACAAAAGAGTACAGCTTGATGACTCTGAAAAAGAATGGAATGAATCTGGATCTCTATCCACAGAAGACAGGAAGTCATAAGCTACAGATCTATGCCAAACCATCCACAGGAACAGATGAAGTCTACAACTGTGTGCTAGAATACACCATAGAATGCAGCTCTGTAGACAGGAATGTTTGCTTTCCAAAAGAACTCCATCAACCTGTTGGACCTAGCTGGTTCACAGAGCGGCAGGGGTTCCTCAAGCCTTCACAAAAAGGCCCAGTTATTCATACCAATGATGGGCGCAGTGACTTCAGCTTCATCCTCAGCAAAGACTTGAATGTTCTAGCCTCACTGCATTCAGACCATGCTCACTTCAATGAGGACACTGGAAGGCGGCATATCTTGCAAGTCTGTCAAGGAAATCAGGTAGACTTTAAGATCCATCTTCCTCATGCAGGGAATTTTGCTCTCAAAATTTTTGCTAAGAAGAAGTGTGATCCAGGCAATTTTAACTATGTCTTCAACTACCTCATCTGTTGCCCAAACACTGAGGTAAAGTGGCCAGTTTTTCCCCAGCATTATAGCAAGTGGGCAGAAGGCTATGAGTTAGTGGAGCCTCTAGCTGGATTGCTGCCAGCCAACCGCAACATCAAGTTTAAACTCAGGCTTCATAGCATTGCCAAGGCATTTGTTCAATGTGAAAGCATCTGCCCATTATCTCTAAGTAAGGATGGTTACTGGGAAGGATCTTGTAACACTTGTGGCTGCACAGAAGTGTATGTGATGGTGCTAGAAAATGCTAACCACAAGTTCTACTCACACATTTTGAAATATGAAGTAGAACCACAATAAGTGGCCACTTCTACTCTTCACATCTGCCCACATGAACAGCGGTATTTGATATATCAGCAACCCATACCACACTGAGAAACCTTTTCACTGTAAAGTTTGTAACAACACAGCAAAACAAGCAGCAGCAAAACTGTGTAACTTCAACAAAACTTCTTTTATGGCCTTCCATTAGTATTGTATCTTGAGTGAAGTTTCTAGCCAATGTAGCTTCCTTATCCAGACAAAGCTTTCCATATAAATAATTGCAATATAGTAATTCATGTGTTATTTGCCTAACATATTAAAAAAGCAATTATGCACATCTACCTACTTACTGAGCCACCATTTGGGGACATAACTGCTGATTTCTGAATGGGTCTGGTTCAAGAAAAATATCATTGTGAATAATGAGGGGGCATTTGAGAACTCATACTTGGCCAGGAAAAGTGAAGGACCATATACTTTGGAGTATGAGTGCAGGAGTGGCTACAAAATCTGAACCAGGCACATGTTCTTGCAAGATAATAATCTAAAACTTAGATCCTAAGTGAAAGCTTTCTTGTGTGCACTTCATTGTCTTACAAATACTTACTGCGAAATACGTTTTTACATCAGATTTTAAATGCAATTAAATACTACTTTTTATCTTATTGGGCCATGGTGTGTGTGTGTGTGTGTGTGTGTGTGTAATATCAACCTTAAACATTTCTGGGGGGGAAAGGGCAATCTAATCTATACAAAAGATTACTTGCTCTATGAAATATCACTTCAGAAAATGTAGTTTTTCTATGAAGCACAAAGGGATACCCGAAGATATTTATTTCATTTCTATACTGCCCACAGCCAAAGCTCTCTGGGTAGTTTACAACAAAGCATAAAATCAATAAAATATAAGAGATGGACACATTAGCATGAATTGAAATTAATTTAAAATAGCATTAAAACATTTTGAAATAAAGACAATAAAAAGACCCATCAAAGAATAAAAGAAAAGCATACGGCTAATCATGTCAGGTCCCTGAATTATCAGGGAGGTCTTAAGACAGCTCTCTTTGCAGGGGCCTCTAAACCTGACACCAACAAGATGGCAAATTTGGCACCTAGCTGGGCCACAGCAGGGAGATTCTTCCAAAGATAGAGGTCACTACAGAAAAGGCCACCCTTTGAGCCTCTTGAGCAGCTGGAACCTGAAAGAAGGCCCCAGAGGCTAAGCATAGTCTGAGTAGACTGGAGTTGGGAGAAGTACTCCAACAGGTATTGCAGTCCCAAGCTGTGTAGGGCTATATAGGTTAGAAGCAACACCTAGTTATTGGGATTAGAAGTGTACAAAAAGTCAGTGCAGGTGGATCAGAACTGGTCTTATGTGTTCAGACCTCTGGTCCCAGTTATTAATCTGACTTGACACATTCTGTACCAGCTACAGCTTCCAAACTGCCTTCAAGGGCAGTCCCATGTAGAGTGTGTTGCAGTAATCTCATCTGGACATTACCAGAACATAGATCACTGAAGCCAGGCTATCCTTGTCCAGGTAGGGGCACAGCTGAGCCACCACCCAAACCTGATAGAAGGCACTCCAAGTTGCAATGTGACCTGAGCCTCAAAGTCAGATGGATCAAGGAGCACCCCCACACTGCTAAACTGCTCCTTCAGGGGCAGTGTGACTCCATCTAGAACAGGTTGACCACCACCACCCCGCCATCAGTCAAAGAAATCACCCACTAACAGCATAATCCTTATGACCGCTCAAGAACCAAGCCTATATTTAGAAGTATGATTTAAATAGGTGCCCTATTTTTCTGGGAAACTCTTTAAACTGACATGGATGGATACAAAAAAATCTGTAATGATCTATGGATTTATTGGGTCAGAAAATAAATGTCTTTCAATAGAAGTTATCTGTCTAATCTTTTGTGTGATCAAATGGATTGCATTAAAAAAATTATATCTAACTAAATATGCAGAGAATTGAGTTGATTGCCCTGGAGGTCTTTCCAGTCTACAACATTAATTTTTGATTATATGTTTCATACATTCATTGAACAGTATGGATTTTCTGCTGCAGCCAAAAAATAACAGCAATTCATTTTCTAGAACATCATTAACAGAGTTTCTTTGATTGAAGGTTTTGCAAGGTTTGAGATTCTTACCAAAATAAAAGCCCCTTCCAAAGCAGTTCTTTCTGCTCTGCTGCATGGATGTCATTAATACACCCAAGCTTAAGTACTAAGAGAAAGGATCAAATGATAACATGTCCCAATACCATGAATAAGCTAATAGTCCATATTTGCAATCTGTGTTATGAAAAGCTCAGAGCAGTGTAGAAGACTGGCATCTCCCCCTTGTGAGGTTGTGCTACAAACAACCTCCTGCCACACACACACTTGAAAGTGCAGTGCTGTGCACATAACCAATGGAGAAAGTTCAGGAAAAGACTACAGCTTGATAGTTTGCCCAGCTCTGAAGAGTGAAAGAGCCACAAAGCAGAGCCGCATAATTTAAAGTATCATACAAGGTGAGCTTTACAAGAGTTGTAAAGAAGGGCTGCAGTCATCTCAAGAATTATTTTTCCAGAGTAAGTAATAAGCAAAGATTTCTGTTTGTATTGATATGCAAGGGAAATGTTGGTACTCTCAAGAAACAACTTTCTAATAGGTGCTTGTGTCACTTTTATACATGGCTTATTCCATGCAGCAATTATATTATAGTATTTTGCAGGGAGAAAGACTCAAAGAACTGCAGTTTCCTAGCAACCTTGGTGAGTTTTGAGTACTGGGAATGGTGGGCGGTCACAACAATAGAAACATTATCTTGCTGGCCACAGGAATAAACTCTTTCAAGAAATAAGTGACAATTGACCTTTTCTTGCTTTCCCCTAAGTGGCAAGACAGGTGTGGGTAAGAATTCAGAACTTTAGACATTCATTGGAAAAGAGAGTTGCTTCATAATTTGGCACAAAAACACACATTTATACTAATTACACATGCACAAAGTATTTTTCTATCACAGAATGTGCAAGGTAGTTACCTGTTTTTTACCACTTCACATCCCAGAAATATTTTATACGGAGCTTGGATTGGTTTTAAAAATAAAGCATGCCCATTTCTACTATGATGAATGAAGCATTCTTAAGAGACATTTATGTCACCCTAAATCACTTGGAGGATGAGCTACAAAATGTATGCTTTGGATATTACAACTACCATTTGATTCTACCAGTATTAGCATTAGCAGACAGTTATACTATCAGCAAGCCCTAACTGTAACATGTTTCCACTTAACATGCAACCGTGTGACCTTAAATAGACATAACTATAACAGGTACCAAAAGGAACCACTCACAAAAACCAATGAAAATGCTGTTGTACATTTCCAGTAGTCTCACTCTATCTACTCTTCTAAACTAAGGGGCATCATATTTATAATTAGGCTAAATATGGTATATTATGTCCTCTAAACAATGCCAGTGAGAATTCATTAGCTGGCAAAATCAGCTCTAGAACTGAAAAAGTTGCCCTAGCAATTGAAAATGCTTCAGGGTGGACTATTTCTATTCCCTTTATTAAGCACTAAATGTAGGTAGAAAAATACTGGAAGAAAAAATCTCAAATAAGTGAAAGTACTTAAGAACTGCCTTTCTAAATCAGACTTAAACCCATGTAGTCCAGCATTCTTGCTGCAGTAATATGTTTCTGGATTTTCACAGGAGGAACACAAAGGCAAGAACCTTCACCTCAGTGTGTCCTCAGCATCTGCTTTTCAAAGATATATTGCCAATAATTTATCCTTTGAATTTCTCTGATCATTTCATTAAAAGCTTAGCCACACAATAACACATAATGCATTTCATTAGTTTTATTGCAAAATAAGTTCTTCTGTCATTTCCAAACCTACTGCCTCCCACTTTCATCAGGAGACCCTGCACTGTGAGAAATATATTGTCTCACAGTCCACTTTCTCCAGATCAATCACAATTTTATATTGTAGGGAACATAACATGAGCTAGTGTATAAAGCACATAAGAGACTGGGCTGCAGATTAGGAAGTTCTCAATTAAAATCTTGCATCTGCCATGAAGTCATCAGGTAGCCTTGGCAAGCCATTCTCACATTCTTTTTGCCAATGTGGGAATTACAATAATGACCGCCATACAGGATCATGAGAATTACAAGTGGTTTGTGATAGACTCAGAATGGTCTTAATGCCAAATATTAGCACTCTATTACACACTATGTTATACACTATCACATCTCTATGGATCATAACAAACTTTCCTAAAAAGGCCCTATACTGCCATTTAAAGGATAAGGCTATGTTAATTAAAAACATTTATACAACACCCTTCATGTACAGTGCAGTGTACAATCAATATTATGGGAAAATAATCATTAACAGTTAAAAAGCATAAAACAGGCAAACATGCCTAGGTGAATAGGAATAGTTTTGCCTGCCACCAAGAAGATTTTAACAGAGGTGCCAGACAAGCCTCGTCCTGGGATGGCATTCCACAGCTGGTATTTCACTGCTGAGAAAGCCTTTTCCTTATCTATTATATAATACCATCAAAAAAGGCATCTAGAGAAAGGACTTAGAACTGTCTTAAAACAGCAGGAAAAGGCATTCTTTCATCAGTACCAGAAAAAAACAGTTACTTTGGGGGGTAAAAAATAACAATCTTTGGTTTTATTAGAAGGGCTTTCAGAAACACACACGTATGTGTCAGACCACAAGAAAGTCTTAAGAGCCTGCACCCAGCTAACTGTCTGCCAGACATTTATGAGTGTTACAAGACGTAACAAAAAGCATAACCAAACACACAGTACTTTTTCAAGGTTCTTCATCCAGTTTTCTCTTGTAAACAAACTGTGCCACTAAGATCAACGACTAGCTTATCCCAAGAGCAGAGGTTATACTGTTTAGTCAAAGAGGTTACAGCATTCAGTCACAGACAGGGCTCTAGCTTCTGTTCTTTGTTCCCTCTGTATGTTTGTGATTTAATATCAGTCTGACCAAATGTATTTGCTATCACTAATTCTACCTTCTGAGCTGTTTAGGGATTTAACCAGAAGTACCTTAAGTTGAGCCACAAATAGGCAGCCAATGACATTCTCTCACCATTGACACAATGCATATGGTGAACCTGACCCTTTCAGTCAAGCTGCTCACAGCTGTATTCACTAACTGAGTAATCAACAAAGCCCACCCCACCTATGATGCACTGAAGCAATGTAACCAGAAAGTAACAAGGATGGAGCACTACAGACAAGCTATCCCTATTCGATGACCACTTTAGTTGGTGAACCAGCAGAAGCCAGCAAAAGGCACTCTGTACTACCAAGGCCACCTGATTCTCTAGTGACAAACCTGGTTCTAAAAGTATCTCTAAACTGCACATCTCTTCTTTCAGAAGGGAATGGAACCCACTCCAAAACTGACCTTAGGACCAAGTACCCACAGCTTATTTGGCTTGTTAGGATTCAGCTTGACTATATTGGTCTTCATCCAGCTTATTACCACATCCAAGCAGACAGGCCTCCTGGGGAAACAATGGGGACTGTGATACTAAATAGTGCTGGACTCTAATAGAGATTATACAAATATTGTATTTGTAGGCCTCATGTAGGCCTATTTCTGCCCATTTTAATGGGCAAGGAGGTCTGGCTGCTGTATGCCACTTTCTATATCTTATGAGGACAGATGATACTGAAGACTAGCCAGAGTGCAATCCTTAAACTTTCTCTGAACTCACAGTTCAGATTACCAATTAAATCTACCAATTTACTACAAGCTGATTTCCAAAGGTTTTTAAGTATATAAAAATGGAAGGCACACATCTGGCTCAGGCTTGCAAGCAAGAGGGGAAATGCTTTGGTGTTATTAAAAAGCTCAGTTCAAAGAGAAAACTCCCCTCCAGCTTCATTAATTATAAAACTGTTAAGACCAACTGATTATTCCAAAGGGATGTTCAACATTCTCAAGGCATGGATGAATGTATAGAAACCCTGCAGCCACAGATAAAAGCGCCTCAGAAGTCTGTACTAGCTTTGTCACAACCCTCCAGGATAAACAACCTTCCTCCACCTCCAAAACATGCATATTTAAGCCCACTGAAGAGATTTTTTTGAAAATGTAGCACATGCGCTAACACATACCTCCGATTTATTTATTTTTACTTTTTCTTAGCCAATCAATTCTATCACGTATTCTTTGTATCCTATATATGTGGGGAAGCACAGAGCAGGAATTCCAACCACCTCATGCAACTTGCTCATCTCAGATTACTCTCCATTTTGAGATGATGAGACTGCCTTGCCAAAGTACAGAACTGTCTCAGGTTCTTGGCACCTCTGCTATTAAACTCTTTTTCCAAGAAACAACTAGCATTGCTTCAGAATTGAAGAACACAGTAATTAACTTTGTCACTGCAGGAAAATAAGTCAAGTTGCACAAGATAGGCAAGATTTTTGAAAAACACCACTTTAGGAATGCAAAAGACTCCAAATATGTGAAAGGGACAGTTCAATTTGCTCAAGAACAATCTTAGAAGAGTCATTATCATATTTGACTAGTTATGAATACGTCAAAAGAAATCACACTGAACCCTGTAGTTACATGACATTTTTGCCAGATTTACCCAGAGGGAAAGAAGTTTTGTCTACACAGTCTTATTTGACAATGCTTGTCTATAAAATGTATTTTATATTTCAATAACTGAATTCATTCAAAATCATATTTTTATTTTAATTAATGTTCCCCACAAGTATGCTGCCTTCATCCAATAGATAAAAAATAACTGGCACTGATGTGGGATATTACTGATCCCACATTTTTACTCATCGCACAACAAAATGTAGTTGAAATAATGCCATATACACAGATAGGAAATTAGGTGATCTGCAAGTTGACATCAATTTGCCTTGACTGCAGCTCTGCGCAAGCAGACACAATTGCCTCATGCAGTATGAGGAACTTGGTGATAAAAATGGCAGGGCACACTGCCCGCTGCTAGCCTCTCTAAGATGCACACAATGGCCTCTTACACTTCAGAGCTTACAACTAAAAGTGGGTGGGACTACGGCAGCCATCCCATTCAAATAGCCAGTTCTGCCAAGCAGGACACATCATACAATCTGAGTGAAGCTGTAAAGCCATAGCTGCTGCATTCCCCATGACACAGAAAATCTTTTACTTCCTAACCCATAGATCACTGAAGTCATACTGTCAACAGAGGCAGGTATGTGGCCACTCTACTTATATCTTTCATTACTTAATTTTCCATTTGTATCTTGTCTACCTTGTACCAAAATATATATTTTTTTTTACTCCAAAGATATGAACTTCACAAGGGCAAATCAGAGTTCTGCCTCCAAAACTGCTGACAGAAGAGATACATAATGTGGATTTCAAAACAAAGGCTGGTAGCACCTAAAAATAAACCAACATATTAAGATAAAAGCTTCTATAGACCAAAGCTCAGTCAAATACATCTCTGGTCCAAGGAAGCCTAGGTAAATGTTTACCTTTATGCTGCCAAAGGATTGTTGCCTTCTCTGCAAGAGACTTAACATGGCTGCCGCTCTGGAAACTGTACTTTGTGTGTTGGTCACCTTCATGGATTTTACCTGCTGAGTGTAGAAGTCAATCCTATTGTGCATATTCAAATTCTAGTCATCTGGCAAAAGTGCTTTGCTCTGAATGCAGCACCGAATTACAAGTTTTCTCCTTGTCCCTTCTGCCATCCAGAGACTGCATCTGTGATGATAGCAGCTTGAGGGAAGAGGCACAAGTTTCCTCTTCTTTCAGCCCCTTTACATAAAATTTAATACAGTATTTTCACCCAAGCAAAGGTAGAACACTTTCAGTTCATTGCTGATAGAAAATAGCCAGTTTTCAACCAAATAAAATGCTATGTCCTATGACAGGCATTATTTATTATCCCTGCAAAATAGCATAAATCAAACTTTATGTTATTCTTTTGGCATGTCTTCATGCTGTGTTTGATTTCATGTTGTCCATCAATGTCAAGCTGACGTGTTGACAAAGCATGGCATGAAGCCATAAAAAACAAACATAGCAAACAAAACACAAACATAGCATGCATTAGCAAGCTCAAAAGACGATGGTGATCCCAAGTGCTTCTGTGGTATTTGCATATAAGTTGAAGACATCCATTAAGACATATTATTGGAGTACAACTCCAACCACTGCCCAGCACTGTAGTAATTGTAATATGCTCAATACTTGACATCAAGGCTCTAGAAATACAGATACCCCTCACTTTTCTCCATATAACATATTCTCAAGAACACTATCCTGCAGCGAAAGTCAATATACTGTTATGTTTATAGGAAGGATGATACTTTGGGTCATGTTATACAGTATGAAAGAAGTGAGAAGAATTATTGGTCAAATACTAAGGCTTCTTGTAGAGGAAATACAACATAAATTACATTTATTAAACCATGCTGAAAACTAATACAAGTGTTTTAAAAGAAAAGCCAGGACTTATGAAATTAGCTGAGCACTAAGACTATTTCAGAGACTGAAATGACACAAGTCTGAAAATCTTCACATTTTTTTTAAATTTCCCTGAAAATAAGATTTTGAATCTAGTCATTCAAAAGTCTGAAACCTTACTAGTAATTCAAAGTGGATTACCAATTAGTATTAGGAAGAAATGGTAAGTTGGTGATATGGAGTGACAATGCTAGGCTTCTTGGTTTCTGCTCAAGGACATGCATTTTAAAGTTCCATGTTTCTTGCTGAAGCTAAACAACTTCTTTAAAGCTGTCTGGCACACCAACCAGCCTCCTAAATCTGCTCTTATGGCTATGAACAGGTGCTTTAGTACTTCATAAGGCAGCTGTTGTCCATGTAAAATTGATCTCATGTATAGGTGTTTATTACTTACACTGAACTTCACCTTCTGAACTAACTTGTCTTCTATAACTTAAACACTTACTTTCTTATGCAGCAACTATTTGACCATAGTTCATCAACAGCTATTGAAGCAATACAGTAATAAAAATAAATCCCAATAGGACCACCACTGAATCATTAATTCAGTATTTGAATGCAAGATACATCAAGTCAAGAAATATTCACCAATACAACAGATTAATTAGAAAAGACACAAAATTGCATCTTCCTAGCTAAAGCAAGTTGAACTTATTTTATGGAATAGAGAAAAAGCAAATTTAGAAGAGGGTAATTTGATACTTAAGATGAACAGTAACAATGTATTATATAAAAAGATGATGGGGTGTTGGTTTTATTTCTTTACATTGCTACATTTCTAAAATAAATTTTACCATTTTCCCCTACAACAGCGTTCCCCTCTGCATATTGTGGGGCAGCAGAATGCAATTAAGGCAGCAAAAAGACTTTTTGTATTACTGCAATTACTACCACAAGATAGAATGTTTTGATCCACACCAACTTCACTTCCTTGGTTTCACCATCACTGAACAGATTAGCACAAATAAGGAGGCAAGCCTCTTGCTAGTTCCTGACATCTTTGGGTCACAGGCAATCTATAGCTGCGTATATAGTAACTTAAACTAAACCATTAACCTTGAAACAATGCTACTTTTGTTGTGTGAACTGTTGTACTGTCTTTTCACTCTCCCGTTTCAACTCTTCGATATGTGCATCTAAGCACTCCAAAATATGGTGAGATCTTACTTCTTCTTCTTCCAGGAACTTGGCAGTAATTGCCCCAATGTCTGAAGTAGGCAGAGGGCTCTAAAAAGCAAAAAAAAAAAATGTTGAAAAGGACTTTGAAACAGGAGGAGGCTTCTAACCTAAGTTTTACTATTAAATGGTGGCATAAGAAAGCATTACACATCAGCACCATATTAACAGAAATCTAAAAGGCAACACTTTATTTCAGCATTTAATACAAACCCAGGTCCAATTACCAAAGTTGCTACAGCCATAGCTGCCATTATTTAAACATCCCAAATTAATCTGTTTGTATTAGGTTTGAAAGGAACTTTTCTGTTTATAATATATTAAAACATTTCAAATTTGTGTTTCATTTGCTACATCTACTACAAGACCACTTTGCGTTTTCCCTTTATGTTTTTTTTCTGAAAGTCTAACCCTGTTGCAAAGGTCTCCTCAAATTCTACCGACCTTACCTGTGCCCATGTCCACATAACTCTCTACTGCAAGAGCTACCTTTACAGTATAAGGATCCTCCTTTGGAGGGAAGAAGACAGGGAAGCTCAACAGCTGCTGGCTGAGCTGGCACAGCCAGAATACAGCAGCAGGGCCCTTGCTCCTACTGCTGCATCGGCTCATCGCAGCATGGCATATGTGTAATGCCCTATAAAAGAAGGCATTGGTGGTTGAGTAGAAAAGTTTGAGAAACACCTTTGAATGAAGATGTGAAGCCCAGAAAAAAGGCTCCAAATTACATCTCTCTCTTCTTAAATAAGTACAATGCTTTTGAAGAGAAGTTTTTACTTAATCAAAATGTGTGGTATGAAGGTATTTATGTAGCATAATTTCTAACATTAGAAATCAATAACTGCTGCACATACTGTAGAGTTCAGTGTTTCTAATGTTATGAAGTCTGAAATCCAAATATTCTGCTAGTCCTGTGAAATTGTAACTGCATAAGACTATTTCTGCCTAAAGAATACCTCCTTTATTTACTACAAAATGTGTGGCTTCCAATTTCAACTCTTTCCCACCCCAAAACTTCTGAGGTAGCAAAAGTTAAAATAAAGCTGCCTAAGTAGCACAGTGTGCAGCAGTTTACCATTTGCTTGCTCTGTTTCACATTTTACTTGCTTAGAATTTTGCTTGTGTACAAGTTAATATTGATGTATTTTAGGTTGTTAAAATAATAACACTAGTTAAGGTTTGATTGCACATGTGTCGTGACAATCCTCCTCCCAAACTTTTTCCTCAATCCTCTCCCCCAACATTTGTCCTGCGCCTCCCCACATCCAGTACTTCAGTAGAAGGCTAGCTCATTACATCTCTACAAGAACACCTTCTCTGCTCTCCCATGTTTTGACCCATCTAAGGTTAACAATCCCGGATTTGATGAGACATGAACCCAGCCCTGTACTGCTATCACCAGAACAGTGCTAGCTCCATGACTTGGTTCCTTCTGCCCTACATTCAGGCAAGGAGCAGTTAGCTGAGTTCTGACAACCCTTGCTGTGCATTCCTGTCAAGAAGCTGATGCCACTATGTGGCTTACTACAGAAACTTTGCAGACCTGATTTGAAAGGAGGTTTTGCAACACTAGGGAATGAAACAGTTTACTCAGGAAAAATAGTAATCCTAATATACTTTGGTGTCAGATAATCTATTTATTATGCTTACCAAAGGCAAAAATTCTCTCTCGTGTTCACTTGACACATCGTAATTAAATTCCTTGTTTCCACATGACAAGGGATCTGTTCTCAGAAAGGGACCACAGGACAAAGATTCCACGGAGTTACTTCTGCTGATCTGAAGTGACAGTCCAGCAGCTGTATTAGAAACAGGGACCATTCTGGCTGACACGTTTTGCACTTTCTGGATTTCCTCTTCATAGTGCTGAATAGTCCTGTCAAATCTAGCTTTGAGTTCTCTCAATTCTTCCTCATGCTTGCACTGTAGCTCTTGCATCCTCCTGGACATTGATTAGAAACTATGTTAGAGTGACAGGTCAGCTCTTTTCTACTGCAATTATCAAATATATGTAGGAAACTATGCAACATACTTGACAATTTTCAGTGTCCTACACGTATCATACGCAAAAACCTTGTGGAGGCCCTGTGAAATTCTAACTGCAATAATAGAATGACCAATTGTAATACATATGCTAAGCATACTTCAGCTTCCTCTGGCATCAGAAAATTCAGGGAAAAAAAGAACTGATTTAACATGGACATCCATTTTCAATGTTCCTCTTACCTGCTTTAACGACAATGGCAGCACTGAAGAGCAGTAATCAAGGCTCACCTACAGTTTGATGATGATGGTGATGATATTGCATTTATATCCTGCCGTCTTCCCTCTTGTGAGAAACCCAATGAGACTTAAGACTGTTTTATCATCACAAAACAACCCTGTGATGTAGGTTAAGCGGAGAGTAAATGGCCCAAAGTCACGCAGTGAGTTTCATGGCCAAGTGGGAACTAGAATGTAGCTTTTCCAGGACTCAAGCTGTTTCAGAATGTTTTAACAGGTACGTGTACCTAAAATTAGCAATGCTGTAAGCCTAAACATTTGTCAATTATAGTCTTTCATTTCCGGGTCTTACCGGTTCTCAGCATTCTTTATCTCTGTCACTTGATTCTGCATCTGTTGCACAATACTCTCATATTTGTCCTGAGACAGCCAAGATGAGGCTTCCAACCTTGCTCTAGTTTCTGCTAGTTCTTTTTGTAGTCTCTGGTTCTCAGACTCCACTTTATTTAGGGCCTTGGCACAGCTTTCCTGGAGTTCAGTTACAGGGGTGCTTTTTACCTTAAGATGACAAAAACTTTAGTCAAGTGTTGCCTTGCATTCTTCTCCCTAAAGTTTGCTTCTGCATGGCAAATCTAAGTGGTAAAATTTCCAAGTCTCTTACTGGGCAAAAATCCCTTCAGTCGGTAAATCAATCACAAACTGTCTGAACAAGTCTACAGCTAGACAGACTGAACTAATCAAACCTACAGAGGTACAAGCTTCCCTCATTCGTCTCAATTGGGTGTGAACTTCAAGACCAATTTGTGATCACTTAAACATCAGTCCCGTTAAATGTGTTCCAGCTGTACAGCTCACCATTTACATCCAAGCCAATGGGACTGCCAGCTTGTAGTTGGGTATTCTCAAAACCTCCTGACACTCTATTCATTTGAAACTGCTGTGTGATTAGTGTATTTGCCAGCTTCAGAGAAAAGCTTAAATAACCAGCTGAGACTGACCCTTCTCAAACAATAAGGCCAAGATTTTATTACAGACAAACCAACCATACATGCAAACACAAACTGAAGCAGGATTTACTTCAGCTCGGAGAGCTGGAACAAAAATATCATTTTTCAAAATGCTACTTCCACTTCTCTCCTCAGGATTTCAAAAGTAAATTAATAAAATTGCAAAAGAAAAAAAACTAAAATCTGTATTAATATAATGCCCTTATTAGGTCAGCTCAAAGGTCACAACGTATCTATGAGTTCTTCAGAAATGTCATTAAACAAGATGGCAAACAAACCAAAAACAGATTTGGGGTAAGGAAACAATTGTTATAGCCATGCAATCTGCATTTGGTTACAGTCTTAAGATGGAAAGAGGAAGGAAGAGAACTAAATACATTCAAAGTAGGCTCTAACAGGTACTGAGATGGTTTCAGGTTTGACAAAGCCATCACCTACCTGAAACCCTAGAGCACCATAGCTGCCTATCAGTGTAAACAATACTAGGCTAGATGGGCCAAGGGGCTGGTTTCCCATGTTCCTCCCAAAGATTACTAGATTACTAGGAAGAAGAAACAATGTGCATTTTTTAAAATATACAATCTAGCTGTATATTGAGTTGAAACCATCTAACATAGCCTAATTTTTATGATTTGTGTCCTTTCTCATTTTCCATCTTTAGACAGACTATGTGCCTTCAACATCAGCCAGGTTTTTTTTCCTTTACCCCCTATACACATTATCTTTTTTACCTTCTGGCTCCTCCCCCCACCCCCAAATATATATATGAAGAAATCAAAGCCTAGACAGTATTTTATGATCTCTGACTTGGAAAAAAAATTATGGTCTAGTTTAAGCTCATTTCAGGCTAAAGATGATACATTTATAAACTGAAAAAGGAAATGCTAGACACATGGAAATACCCTCCTCCATATGGAGGGTGTTTTGACAAGATCCAAACCCCTCTATGTAGAGATTCTGAGGCCATGGGACCATTTTTAAGTCCAGAGGGAGTCCATGTTCAAACAAACAAATGACAAGTTTGGAAGCTCACTTTTAAATATAGTGACAGAAGTAGGGGACAAAATAGGAAAAAGTTCACAAACCAAAGGCCTGCTTCTGGTCTCATCATGTGCAGAAAAGATCAGAACAAATGTTTGTTTGAACAGGTCCCATAATGATATGATAATAAAAATTACATGCAAAGCAAATTTTATTCTTTAAGGGAAAAGCATATAGTGGTTTGAACACTGAGTGAGCAGGCACCAAATGGCATCTTCTACTGCAGTACTTCCTTATGAACATCTTCATTAAATTCACAACTTACACTGACACCTAGTGGTCACAGCAAAAAATGCACACATTTTAGTTGTCCAGGTGTGTTTTTAAAAAAATCTAAGACCTTAGACTGTTTATGAAGCAGCAAACTCCACCAATGCAGCTTAAATCTTACTGAGTCCCTCCAACACACACACATAGTGTCTCAATCAAAAAATTGCACTGAAAAATTTTATTAAATTTATTGTATTAAAATAATTTGATTTAAATAATTATTAAATTAATAGAAAAATATCAAACCAACATAGAATGTTGTATAAACATATGAAAAATGCACTTGTCTGGAAAACACACACAAAAGACAAGTTTTATCAAGAAAGATAAAGACAACACAACACTAGAAGTAACTTTACCTTGTGTAGCATTTCTGAGAGGTGGTGGTTTTCTTGCCTGAGAGTCTCCAGCTGAGACAGAATAGCCTTAAGCAACAAGTTTAAGAGATTAGCATAGAGTAGAGGGAGGAAGGCAAAAGGAGAAGGGGATGAAGGAGGATGAGGTAGCTAGATGAAGTCACTGGGGCAGTGGGTGTGGGCTTGGATGGACTCCAAGGGATGGTGCAGGACAGAAGAGCCTGGAGGAATGCTGTCCAAGGAGTCATGATGGGTCGGGCACAACTTTGGTCACATGACTCCCACAAAGGCATGTTATTCAGTGCATGAATTAGTTTGAATGTCAGAACCCCAACTTTCTGCTGAACAGGTTTCTAGTCCTCATAGCTAAATTTGAAAGTGTGATGCCAGCGATACTAAGGGTTTTGAGCAAATCCACTATCAAAGAAAGCTCCTACCTTAGCATTTTTCATCTCCTAGTTTAAAAAAATCTATACATCAAACCATTTCAAGATACAAAAGCCATTTTACCCTGTGTTCCACTGCCTTTCGCTCTGCTTTTTCAATTTCTATTCTTAGTTGCTGCTCCAAGCCCAAGGCAGAACCACTGGATGAGGCAATTGTAATGTCACGTTGGTGCAGTTCCTGTGTTAACTGAGTAACCTCCTGCTTCATTCCTTCCAACTCGCTGCTATGACTTTGTTCCTTCTGGGACAGCTGCTCCTGGAGCTGGACCAAAGTGCAAATGAATTTGCAGGTTAGTATTTCTTCAGAGGCTGATAGCAGGGTCTCTGGAAGCTTGACTCACCCTGGCCCTTACTGAATTCTAATCTGAAGCAACATTTCAGAATTTGATATAATACTCCTGTCTGAGTTCAGTCCATGCATTTTTATCTTCTGGGATAATTGTATTCAGTTGAATCATGGACTTGTTCATGAAGAATTAGCAAATTACCTACAAATGGACTGACAAATGGAATAATTCACATGCTGAAAGTAATAACAGTAACACAACTACCATCCAACTATTCCTGAGTTTCTATTGCACACTTCCATCAAACAGATGGAACATGAACATGTCAAAGGCCTATGGGGCACAAACATAACACTGACATTAGAAGAAAACAACCCCACTCCTAAAACTATGTATACTGCAACAACAATAGTACAAGGCAACAGCCCTAAAATGCTGGGCCCAGTAGGAAAGCAGTCACCCTTAAAGGTCAGGTGTGTGTCAATGATAATTCTCTGCTGAAGGCATGAAATTCATCCTGTGTCCTGGGCTAGCAAGTAGGAAAAGACTCCATCTTATCTGTTCCTAGAAAATCTACACCTTTCCTCTTCAAGATATTCTATGCCCTCTCTAAGGGAAACTGATGCTTTTCAGAAGCATTGCCAGAGTATTTCAGAATAATATCAGAGTTGGGAAGATCAAATCTGAATATCTCCCACCCAGAGTTGACTCTTTTTTAAGACAATTAATATGGGCTACCAAAGAGAATGCAAAATTTACTGAACTAGCATTTACAGCTGTAGCAGTTAACACAGGCCAGATTTGGATGGAATGGAAGCACATCAACAACCTCAAATATTTCCTCCTCCAAAACATCCTCGTCTTTAAACACTAGAATGCTGTAACATCTGAAATGGGTAACTTATAACTCATAGCTTATGATGTCCAGAAGTCTTCTCTGGAGGCACGTTTGCAATAGTAGTAAAAGAGAAGGGGTATCTGAGCTCTCTTTTTGTCATGAGATGAAAGGAGACAGACTTTATGGGAGAGAGGGCTAAATTTAAAGACTTCACTCATGAAAAATCAGATATAATTGCTCTTGGTAGTATATGGAAGCTACCAAGCTAGTATATGGAAGCTAGAAGCTAGTATATGGAAGCTTTTACATTTGTTTCCTATATTTGCTCATATTCAGAGACCTGTTTCAGTCTCTCCCATGCAGAACCACCAAATTATTCAAAGTTACTCTTGGAGGAGAATAAAAAGAAAGAGGGGGCACTGGTAAGGGCCACATAATAAATATTTGGTAAATATGCTTGTGTTCTCTGTATGTCCCCCAACCTTGATCCACATGTGGCTATAGAAACGTGATTCATCTCCTGCTTGACCCTACTAATGTTTCACTTTGCATGGTTTTATGAGTGGGGGCCAGTTCTGCTCCTCATGCCAGATAATCACCCCAGCCCACAGTTCTCTATATTCAGCTTTTCATCTAGAGTTTTGTTACAGTCATTGGTTTCTGTTAGTTTCAAAAAAACCAATAGAATGAGAATTACCAAGTGCCTACAGAAAATATTTATTGTTGCCCCATGCATTTGGCATACTTTTTTTCTCCATTGGGTTTCTTTTGTCAGATATATTAAGAAAAGCTGCCTTCACCTATTTCACTTGCACCAAAGATACAAAATGAATATCAGCAACTGGGTGTGCATGTCAGAGCAATCCAGCATGGGTAACAAGCTTGTACTTCCTGCAGAGTGGATTTTTTAAGGTGAGAAGCCACCCAGACAACCTGTGGCTTGTTCTAGGTGATGCTGAATCCATGATGGACTGCTGTGTCATCTGAACCTAGGAGACTGATCCTATCATACAGTGCCTGGACGCTTTGCTGCTCTTGACAATTTCACCAATGCAAAGGGTTTTTCCAATCAAAACTGTGTGGTAAATGTATCCCACCCCCAGCAGTGTGATTCTCTAGTTTTGCTGTATTATCTGGACTGCTTTCAGTGCTTTCTACCATTTCCACACTTGCCTGAGCCTCTAAATATTTCAGAACTATATCCTCCAACCCCATTCTAAACACTTTCTTTGACAAGTGTTAAAATATTTGAGAGCCTTTTTTTTTTGGGGGGGGGGGAGCGGGGAGGAGGACCAGAAAATATAGGCAGATTTCATGGTTGCATATTTCCCCCTAGCATCTTGCCTTAAAATCTTCCTCTCAGCAATGTAATCCTCTTGATTTCTAGTGCTCTAGTGTAAGGTGCTGAGAAATGTCTGTTCAGCATTAAAAACTTAGATGATTATATTGCTAAGATGATTTTATGCCCATCCCCTTTTGATAGACCTATTCAGATTTTTTTTCCTTTTTCAGTGCTTTCCAATTGACAGCTAGGGAACTGACAGCAGTCAAGTGTTCATTATATGTAGTGTCATTTCATCAATCTGCCAGTGTCTGACAGATGAAACTGACAAGGGCACCAACTAGACAAGACTATGTATAACAGAATGCCAAAAGTGCACAACTGTGAAAAACCAACATAAATAAATATAAATAAATGCTTTTCCACATGTTTCTGGGCCCCCAAAATTGAAGCATATAAACCAATTGCACTTTTTTGGAACCCCAGAAAAAAAGAATGAAAAGGGATTAATGAAAATGAAAAGGGGTTAAAAGAATGAAAAAGGATGGGGTAAGGGGAGAACAAACTTATTCTAAGCTCAATCATCTGTCAGGCATACCAAGGATTGTTCCACAACAACCTACATGTATGGCTTATTTGCAAAGTGGATTGTTGTGTGAACACACCAACTATCTATATATTCTTTAACTTGTTTACTTTTGCACCAAATAATGAGACAAACACCCCCACATGAGTTTTAGTAACAGTACCCATATCTATTTTATTATATACCACACTACAGTGTTTATTTCCTCAGATAAGAAGACTGCTCACCTTTGTAATTTCAGCCTTGGCCTGGCAGAGGTGCTCCTCAGCCAGCTGCAACTCCCGACACTTTTTAATTAGCTCCTCACATGGCTGGATGCCCTTTGTGTTTGCAGATCCCAAGCTAGCACCCCCATAGATAGAAGGTAACAAAACAGTGAAAGTTACTGTAACAGAAGCCAAAGAATTTGGCAGCTTTTTTGTTCCCCCGCTAGAATACTTGAGTTCCATATAATTTTGATGCACACATCTTATGCAGCAATGCCCAAAGTAAGGAGACTTTCCTTAATACCTCATCACTAGGATCAACAAAAGACTAGTAGAAAAAAACCTGTAGCTATAATATTGTAGCACAATTCAGTGGGGTTGCCCATAACCCTCCAAATTGAGAATTATGAACATCCTTTATGGAGAGAAAGGGCAATTTTGGCCATCTAACAGTGGCATTTTCGAAAGGGAGGCTAAGATGCTGCCAGAATAATTTGTATTTTGCCAACACCTGTCTTTTATGCTCCACACCCCTTCTCCAAGATTGCTGTTACGACCTCAGAGAATTTCTGTGCTGGCTGCAACTGGAGGATCCAAATGTGAATCCCCAGTCCTGACCTGGGACTTCTTTTCTGAACTCAGACGATAATCTAAACTATTTCTGTCACTTCAGCAAGTATACAGTAAACCTTAATATGAAATAAAAACAGAGCGAGTCAGAAGGGGTCTGTCACCTGGCTCCAGCCAGCTCCACTCATGACATGTTTACCATGTGCATGTCCAGCCTATCCTTGAACACCCCCAGCGACGGGGCTTCAACCACCTCCTGTGGAAGCCCATTACATACCCAACATACCATGATCAGCTATCTCTAAAGAAGACACATTTGCATAACCCAAAATAAATTGCTAAATAAGGGTACATATTGTTTTGTTTAGAAAATATAAAGAAATTGTTGAAAAGAACATCTACCTTTCCTCACAATAAGTCACTTCAGCATGATCTAGCTGCAGGCATATATGGTCCAATTCTGCCCCATCTTGGCAGATTCCTTTGGGTTTCTCACTGTTCTGTAACTGCTGTTCCAATGCCCTGTAAAGGAACATAGATCACAAGTTCTAAGTCTCATAATAAGCAAACAAAGTCTGTCACATGAATTCTACTCTGAAGAATAATTGCAGGTGGACAGCTGACACAGTTAATAAGGTTTGTGTTTCCAAAAGGCTAAATGTGTGATTAAAAGCAACAAAAGTAGCTTCAGCTTAGCTATGAATTAATGAGAGTTGACAATCAATGAAACAATAGTGGCACTATCTTTCTATCAACTGAAGATGACAACAGCACAACTCTTTGCATTTCCCACCTTGAGTGCTGTCTCAGCATTGCTAACAATGAGTTATCAATTTTTCTAATCTTGGAGTAGTGATGTAAGGAATAGTATTGTGTAGTTAGTTATCATGAGAACATTATTGCTTAATGTTTCTTGACCTAATTTTACACAAATGGTCTGGTTTCTTCATCTAATTTTAAACAAGTGTAGAGAACCCCCAAGGAAATTAGGGTGGAAAAGAAGAAATATGAGGTGTAAGGTGAAATGGAGAAGAGCAGTGGAAAGAGGTGAAGCCCTCTGTAAGTGATAGATGGCAAGAACAATCTTTCTTTTGACAAAAGGAAACAAAAGCACAAGAGAGGGGGCTTGCAGAACAAGAGAAGGAGTGTCCCCACCCACTTTAGCTCCAAACCTCAACAGAAAAAAGTAGAGGTTCCCACTCCATCCTGAAAACTAAGATTGAGGTGTTAATCAGTAAGGAAACAAAATAAAAATCATGGCTTAATGTCAGTTATCATCTAACTCATTTATTATTTTTGCCAAAAGAATACTGCTCAACTTTCAAAAACGAAAGCAGATGTGTGTGAGATACTCTAAACTAGCTCTCTCTCTCTCTCTCTCTCTCTCTCTCTCTCACACACACACACACACCAAAACAAATGCTATTGTAGATGCTATTGCGCCACAAAATGTGTAAGACTTATTCAGAACAGAAAGTTGAATTAATCTTAACTAGGCTGTGACTAAGGGGCATGGTGGCTTAGCGGGTAAGACTCTGAGTTTGTCAACTGAAACGTCAGCAGTTCAGCATTTTGAATCCCTAGTGCCACATAACAGAGTGAGATCCCATTACTTGCCCCAGTTTCTGCCAGCCTAGCAATTGGAAAGCATGCAAATAAACAGGTACCACTTCAGAGGGAAGGTAATAGTGTTCTGTGTGTGAAAGCATCTAGTCACGCCAGCCACAGGACCACGGAAGCGTTTTTGGACAATGCTGGCTCTTCGGCTTAGAAAGGGAGATGAGCACCGCCCCTTCAGTTGGTCACGACTAGCATGCATGTGCAGTGGGAAGCTTTACCTTTACCTATGCTGTAACTACTACTACAAATTAGTACAATTACATTGAGATACACAAATCTGCTTGCCAGAATTGCTCTGGCACACACCAGTACCTCAAATTAGGTGCGTAGAAAGCAGGGATGAACCTTTGTACCTCTCCCCACTGCCAAGCAGAGAAGGAGCAGCCTTAATGCCACACTTGACATTCTCCAGTATGTCACTGTAGACAGCCTATCCTCCACCACCTACTGTCCCTCAGCTGTGGAACAGTGTCAGTGGCAAGCAATTTATCAAGGCCGGACAAAAATTAGAATGACACATTCAGAAACACTTGTAGGAAAAGCAAATGTGGGTGTGTTGGGATTTCAAACTTGGTATTGGGCAGCAATATAAATCCTACCCAATGAAAATGTATTCTCAAAAAATAAGATTCAAAATGTGTGAACCTGCTGTTAGCCATTTTAAGCCCAGAAATGCAGGATTAGTTATGCTGAGTATAAATAACCAGAGGCATACTGTTTTTAAACATTACCCTTATACACAATTACACTTGTAAAATTCATGCTATCCTTTTCCTACCAGAAGAATTCTAAAGAGAAGTGAACTTCCTATAGGTCTAGACAGGGAAGAGTTGTTATTTTTTTAATATTCCGATTGACAGAGAATCTACTTGTAAAATATCTTGAAAAAGTCTTACATTTTTTTAAGGGTGTTCCAATGTATTTGTTATATTGTTTTAATCAAGTTTTATTTATGATTGTAAGCTGCCTTGACTGCCATTTTTCTTGGTAGGCACAGTGTACAAATTAAATCAAATAAATAAAAACATGTTGTGGACCCTTAAATCTGACATTATCCTTTTCTTCAAGAATACATTTACCAAACAATGCATAATCATCTCTATCTGTTTGATATTTAAGGAGTACTGGGGCATATTAAGTTGGGATGGAAAAATCATGTATACAGAGTTTTGATGATAAGACCCACACCTGATCTGAGCCTCTTTGGTGCACAGGGCCTCAACTAGCTTGGACACTTCCTGTTGTAATTGTTCATTATGAAGCCGTACATTATCAACGAAGTCCTCCTGAGACAGCAAAGTGGCTCTCAGTTCCATCTTTTCATCACAGAGAACCTTCAAGAAGAGAAGATCGAAACTGCTGGTTCATAAATACTTTGACTGGGATCATGACTAGTTTTTTGAGTTAACAGAAAAGGGTGGAATATACCTCTAACAGAATAGATACATAAATAAAACAACAGCATTAGGCTTACACCAACTATTAATTGTATCTATGTGTGCACACAACTCAAGTAAAGGATACCATGGAGCAACCCCTTCCCCTACCAGACATTTTTTCTTGGTTAGGTGCACTTTTACACAAAGAGGCTCAGCATAAAGCTGGAAGGAAGCCCATTAATTAGTGATGTGCCAGACCACTACCATCATTACACTGCTTCCAAGAAATACACCCACAGACCTCCAGTGAGTTTCGGGAAAGTTTCAGCTCATCTAACAGTCTTTGATGTTCATCCAGAATCTTCTGGTTGGTATTAGTCAAATCATCCACTCTCATATTCAGCCTCTCCACTTCCAATTCATTGGCACAGATAGTGTCATTGGCCCTTTCCAGCTGGCCGGCTAAATGATGGATTTCAGATTGGTTTGCCAGCTCTACAGATTCAAACATTTGTTTCCGACTGGACAGCTGAGTCTGCAACATAAGCAACATAGTTCTACTAAAGCTTAGCAATATGCTAGAAGAGCAAAAATGAAACTGGATCCAGGACTGAAGATTTTGATATCTGTATTTTCCATCCTACTATATAATATTTCTAGAGTTCATTTCCATTGTAGAAATAATAACCATGGGTGAAATACCTTCTCAAGGCCACCGAGGTTGTTTATGACTGGGCTAGATGACTGACTGTCCATATTCAAAATAAAAATCATATCCAATTAAGCTATCATCCACTTTTCACAGTTTAGATGAGGTAAAGAAGAAAGCAATACTGGAGGCATACAAAGCAGCTTTACAAAATGTACCAAATCTTATTTTTGTCCAATTGTAGCACTTTTCAATACTGCTGGTAAAAAGGAACAATCCTTTGAAATCAACACAAGTAGACTAACTGCAGATCTACACTTAAAAGCTCTTTAAAAATCTACACTTTCAAAATCCTATCCCATTTCCTGTTTTTTCTATTGCCCTGTCAGTGACAGACTATGCCAGCCAAAGCTCCAAGAGAGTCTACTTTCAGAAGACCAAGCCATCAAGAACACAGGCACAGCTGCAGCAAGGCATTTGTCTCAAAAAGGCTCACATTTTGTCCAAGCAAATCCACCAGAATCTGCCTTTTACAAAGCCACCATCAGTGACAGCTTCAATCCCATCACTACCAAATTCTACCATGCAGAATTTCCATTCAGTGGCAACTTTGGAGTCCATTAAGTGCAAAGCTCCCAGCAAGAGCTTCTTATTAGTGTCTGCTGCGATTGTGTCGGAACAAGTTTATTTACAGCTGGCACCTGGACAGTTAAACTAACTAAGCCACAGCAGTACTAACTCAATGAACAGATTACTTTTTCAGAAACAGCAGAAGCTGTGTGCCTTTGCTTTGAGAGTCACAAATGACAAAACTATGAATTTACACTGTTTTGGTTATCTTGCCACATGCACATTTTGTAGGAAATGCAACATTTTTAAAAGAGCACTACTTAAACCTGTTGCATACACTTTGAGGCATGCTGTCTGCCACCTGGCAACTATGGAGCCTTTAACAAAATAGATTTTAAGCATTTCACACTATGCAGTTTCCTGACAAGAATCATGTTATGGCCTTTCCACAACTGGCACTTGAGAGTACAGAGAAGCCACCTTCCAGCCACTGAATGGATTTCAGATTATTTCCCAGATATGTGCCTGAACTGGACAGAAGAGGGTTCTTCCACTGGGAGATTCAAAGTCATTTCAATAATAGCCTGAATTGTATTAAGGCTCAGGGGATTTTTTTGGGGGGTGGGGAAGGGAGAGTCTTTTCTCCAGATATCAAAGGCAAGCAACTCATCATTCATTAACTCTACCTGAATAAGTTCAAACTGCTCAGCCAGTGCCTTCCTCTGTGTTTCCAGTGCACCCACATGCTGTTGGTAGTGCAAGCGCTGCTTCTCCCAGTCTAAGGATTTTTGGCGGAACTCCTGTAAGGTCAATTGCTATTCATTACATTGGTTGAAATGTATTCTTCTTTTTCAAATGCAGCATTTTCTGTCTGTTCCATATCCTTTAACCATCCCTATTACATTGCAATCTCTACTTTATCCCAATTACCTTAAATAATTTTATCTACCACAGTGAGCCTGCTTAGCCAGCCATCTGATAACCACTCAGAGGAACTGTATTTTACTTTGGCTACCTCTCAAGGGTTAAAATGTTCATGCCAATTACTGCTCATATGAATGTTGAGCACCAACAGACTCATGGCTAACTGTACAAAAATCAAGCATTCTGCTTTCCAAAGAGTTTGCTCCAAATCATGTACTCTGCAAACAGGAAGTTGCATATTGTTGCAATAAGATCCAGAAATCAGGCACAGCTAAATTGTTTCTGGCAGAGAGATTGAGGATATGATACTCTTGAAAAAAAAACTACAACATTCTTCCAGTGATTTGCTACCAACAATGGGAAGAAAACAGTCCCCCAGTTCTCTAAATTTCTGCCATTATAAAGTCATCCACATTTATCAGATCAGAATATAACCAGCTACAGGTCTTTCCAAACAAGCTTCATCATATGAAGTGCACAGTTCACATATCTTTCCCAAGACAGTGCTTCTCTTGCAAGTATATTACATCTTCGAAGTGTTCTTTGTACAAGGGTTTGTACCTAGAAAACTGTGATGTTGCCTAAGTGTTGTGTTCACTCCTACGTGAAGCATGAATGTATGCCCCATTAACATTATGTATGATACAAATAGTAATAGAGCTGTGAACAGTGGATTTGCACCAGTTCATTTTTAAAGTAATCTATCACTAAAAGTGCAAGGACCTGGGGAGATACCATGTTCTGTTCATAATCAGAATATAATTTCCAGGTTTCAACACATGACAACTAATACCCCCTCTGATTAGTCTGGAAAACATTCATAATGGATTACAACATCACTTATTCCAGTCAATTTTCCTGTCCCAACTTCTCCATTACTAAAGCTTGACTTATACATCTTATATACAGCATCTATGCTATTTTCATGAGCAAGGAAACAAGGGTACACACCTGTAATCGCTGAGTATTACTTTTAAATAAAAAACAAACCTACTAAGAATTATGTATTTTCAGTACCAATATGTGAAATTCACAGTACCAATACAAAAGATAAAATGCAAACTAAATGTGATAGAAGGGCAGGGAGGCTGGTAATAACCCTAATCCATACCACTCCATGAAATTATTTGTGCTCATTTGTCCTCTGCCCTTGCATACTCTCTTATATACAGAAGTGTGAGACAGACAAATGCACCCACACTATACTACACTGGTGAGATATAAATATACCCAGGGTTTTTTTTTACTTATTACATATTCTTGAAGTAGCCATTATTAAAGCCAGCCATTTATTAACAAGTCATTCCTGCCAATAGTATAGATGAGAAAAAAAATTAAAAAAATACTTTGGAATGTCAGCAGGATCTCACTAACATAAATCAGTTCATTGTATTAGCTACATTTATTGCCAAGAAACCACTTCTTTTATGAGCACAACTGCTAACAAAACTTACTGCATTAGACAGGTGATTTATTTGAATCTTTAAAGAAATTCATGCAATATGAAGCGAAAACTAGAACAGACCTAAGAACAAGATTCCATAAGCAGAAATTCACAGTTCTTTCTAAAACACTAGAGGAAGCTTTTTGCAAGACATTTTAATTCACCTGTACATAGTCTTTCAGATTTATAATTATGTCCAGTTGAACAAGCAAACCCACTGACATCTTGACAGAAAAGATAGATCTACAGTCTCCAACCTTTTAGCTCATATGGCCTTAAACTAGAGGACAAGTCATAAGATTTACAGCAGTCATGCCTTTTTAAAAAATTCCTTAGGAATTTTCATCTCCCAGCATTCCAAGACACCACCTTGCTATCAATTTAAAATCACAGTTACTGATAAGGAGGAAACCAAAACATATTTTGAAATTGTTAGCCTGAAGCTCAGTCTAGACAAGACTAAGACATTCATAATGTGTGGTTTTTCTGACTGGATTGCATTCAATTTGTTCTAATTGGGATTGCACTCCACCTGAAGGAGCAGGTTCATAGCTTGAGGGCACATTTTGATATATCTTTGTGACTTGAAGCTCAGGTGGCCTCAGTGGTTCAGAGTGCCTTTTACCCGCTCTGACTTGTGGCCCAGCTATGCTCCTATCTTGACAGGAAAAGTCTGTTTTCAGTAACCCGCACACTGGTCATCCCTAAATTAGATTACTGCAGTGCAATCTACATAGGTTCCCTTGAAGACTGTTCCAGAGTTGCAGCTTGTGCAGAATGTGGCAGCCAGATCAATAACTAGGACCCACAGATCCAAATATAGGAGACCAATTCTGGCCTGTTTGTATTTGCTGCCTCTATGCTTCCAGGCACAATTCAAGGTATTGGTTTAAATCTATAAAGCACAGCTTAGGACCACAATGCTTGTCAGAGCACCTCTCCCAACAGCAATCTACCCTAACACTACACTCAACATCCAGGGCCTTTCTCCAGGTGTCAATTCCAAGGGAGGCTTGGAGGATGGGAACCGGGGGGGGGGGGGGGCTATCTGTGGCCCACCTGCCACCAACCTTGTCATTTTTTTGGCATGAGATTAAGGCAGCCATTTATTCTGAACCAAAGATATATTTGGTTATCCAGGGGCTTCAGAGATTAACTATTTCAGTCTTTCAATTAACAGGGGCATTCTTCATTAAATGTTTTTTAGATGTTAATCTAAAAATTAAAAGTGGCTTTTAATTAAAATTAAAATTAAAAAGTGGCTTTTGATAAGATTATATGGTCTTCTCATTGAATTTCATTGTACTGCTTTCATGCGCTGCTGTAAACCACTCAGAGAGCTTCAGCTATGGGATAGCATAGAAATGAAACACATAGTTCTCTCTTACATGCATGCACAAAGAGAGAGAGAAAATGTTCAGGATCACACTTTGCTCAGGAAGCACTTGACAACAGAAAATACAGGCAATGAACCTTATTGTTCTTTATTTGTTTTACAAAAGAATTCTAAACATGTTTACTCAAAAGCATGACTTAATGTGATTTATGTCAAGGTAAGTCTTTCATATACCTACACACAAACCCCATTAATCGTAAATCTTTTTTCAGTGCCCTCAACTAGTCAGTGCTGTTCAAGGACTACATTTTACATTTCACTTACCTACCTCTAATTTCTTGGTCAGGATTTTTACATCAGACTGATCCTCCTCCTGGCTCTTAGAAGAATATCTAGATGCTTTCAGTTGTTTCTTCAGCAATTTCTCATAACTTCTCTTCAATCTACCTAGCTGCAATAAAAGCAGCAAGATGTCTAATAATTTCGGCAAATACTGAAGTAGAGAACCAGTAGTTACATAAAAACAAATGCTAACATTAGTAATCAAGAAATCTGTATTTTATGCACCAATGACAAGAACTATTAATATATCATAACTGGTTTAAGTAGTCAGGGTGAAAAGCCTTGTTCGGGAATGACAGACTTTAGATTGTGGTTAACAGCTATAAGTTTACAAAATAGATTTTTTTATTATATAGAATGCATTTTTATTTGGAAAATTTTATGAATTTTGTTCATCATGACAAATGAAAAAATGTTAACTACTTTTCATTAGAAACACAACAGGAAATGAAGGAAATAATCCCCACCCTTCCATCAAAACGAACACAAACTAATTGTCAAGACAGAAATGAAAAAATGGAGGATAAAACAGAAACTGAATAACTAGGGACAAAGCACAAAAAGATAAAAGAAAGGGAAGTGGCATGCAAACATGAACTGTCAATGAGCTCTATGGCAACCTGAAAGTATTTTATTTATTTCTAAATTTATGAGTTATATTTAGGCTGATAAAGAGCACCCAAGAGAACATACAACTAAACTTAAAAACAAAAAATATATTTTTAAAAATCTGAAACTTGATTTAGATCGCTCTAACTTGCTATAAAGAGTCACACTTCTTTGCCATGAAGAGAATGAACAGGTACACAACCCATGGTCCCCTGGCCCATGAGTTTTCCTAGCTGGCACTAGCTAGGGAAAGCCTATGATTACCCTTAGTAGCACTACTGCTGGCAAGGGAAATCTTTCCCTTATAGCTAATATTGCCCTTCTTCCTTCATGGAAATAAGGGGAAAATGTATCTTTGGTGGTAGGTGGTGGGAATGTGGATGTTGGAGGATATGAGCATATGCACAACCCCTGGAACACCAGTCAACACCAGAAAAGGTCTTCAGGTCTAACGATGTTGTGCACTTCTGAAGTTGGAGGAGGAGAAGTCCATGGCATGAATGGGCTTGTTTTAAATTGTGAACAAAATTCTTTAAATTTTAGTAATTTTATAACTCTATACTGGAGAACTCAAGAGAGCAGCATTTATGACTCAACACATTAGTGCTAACATACTTGGAACCTGCCCTGCTATGAGATTTCTTGAGTTGCTAATGCTCTTCAGCCTTCCTTGCTGTTCCATAGTGCTGCATTCCAGGTGCCAATCTCTCCAAGGATTTACCACAGCACCTCAAAACTGCATGACAGAATTCTTACTATCTGGGTGGCAGCCCCTCTTAAACAAGAACCATTACCCATGCTGAAATGAAAAGACTTTTAAAAATATTGACAAATGTCTTCAGCTAGCAAAAGCACAAAATTAATTTTAGTTATGGCCTAGAGTAAGCAGGACTTGAACTAACTCTCCAGAGAGAAAAGGTTAATGCATTACTAGCCTCTGATGGCATTTAACTTCACATAACTGACAAGCAAGAAGAAAGGAGAACAAAAAGTCAAAGCCAAACATGAAATGCTGTCACAGTATCTGAGACCTTTTGACAAAATAGTTGCCAGACATCAAGTCTTTGTGTTTCTTTTCTCTCTTAATGAAGATTTTAAAAAATAGATTTAAGCTGCAATCCTATGATAACTACTTAAGGACAAGCATCACTCAACACAGGACTTTCTTCCAAGAAAACATGTGTAGGATCAGGCTTCAAATGTTCTCACAATGCCATATTATCATGGCCATATGGAAAACATATCTAAATTGCCCATGTAAAAGAGAGAACTGCTGTGATATAAGGAGCTGGCTGCTCCCCACTAGTGGAAGCAGTAGCCTAGGGAAAGCAGAATGAATGCTTGACCAAGATCTTTTCAGACAAAAGATCTGAAACTACCAACTTTGGACACACAGCTCAGCAGCCATTCAGAAAGACATACAAGCACCACCTAAAAGGACTGGAGAGGCAAAGTGCTTTATTTTATAAGCTAGAAAGGAGAACATAATAAATTTGGGCTTCAGGCTACCCCAAAGTTTTAGCTCTTAGACTGAATGTGATTCCTTTGCAGGACCAAAGCAAGGAAAATTAAGCTACAAAAGATGGCTAAAGTGGTAAGAAAAACATCTTTATCATGATACCTTAATACATGTAGAGCCTACCTACTATACATGAATTGGATTTCTCATCCAAGGATGAGTTTGAAATCCAAATGCTCTATTGTTGTAAGAGTGTAATCCTGTTCTTTAGAAATAAAAATGGGCTACAGCTCCCAGCATTCACCAACCAGCATGGGAGTTTTAGGACTTTTTTGCTGCTAAAGATGCCCAAAGAGTTTTATTTCTTGACTAATAGAATAAAGCAAAGCATAAGATAAAACACAGATTTAAAGAACAAGGCATTCACCAACTGTATTTTCTCAATAATGAGTCAATACATTTTGCTACATGCAAGCTGTATTCATTCTTGTTAACACTATTTGCATTGATCTACAATTTTTGGAATCACTTTAACTTCTTTTGTACTAAGAGACATAGGTAAATCAGAGGGGAAAGTGCAACCATTTCTTTAGCAGATTATATATGAACAAGGCTACCTTAAACCTCGTAATAAATGCAATGATTGCACAGTGCATCCATACACCCATTGCCATGCAATAATATAACCACTAAACATTTACAACCATTTATAATTGTTTAAAATTTCCACAACAATTTAAATGTTGTGGAAATTTTAAGAAGAATTGAGAAGTGTTGTGAAAGATGCATTTTTTTACTTCCAACAAGTTCTCATTTTAGTGACTATCGTACACAAATACATAACTGCACTGAAGGCTTGAATATATTTAAAATTACATGAAAGGGCAAACATTGTACAATATAAAGGCAGGCTTAGGAAGACTCACCTCTTCCTGGACTTTTGTTAACTGTTGTTCATATTCCATACTCATCTCATGATTCAGTTGTTCTATCTTTTCCAATCTCTGGCACAACTTCTCAGTCTTAAAGAAATCAGCACACATTAGCACAACAGTACAGAAAATATGTAACAGTGAATATTTATTGTACAGGGGTGGGGATGGAGTACAAAGAGAACTATGTGAAAATCATCCCATTCTACACAAACAAGTAGGTATGGGAAATGTTCCCACCTGCTGCTGTCAAGGGCTACATTTTCTTAGAAGTCATCTGTCAGGGCAGTGGGTGAGGCAAAGCGCAAAGTGAGTCAGATGTCCCTTTTCTCTTTCACACCTTCCTCCTCTCCCAGCATATTGCTGGGGAAAGGACAGAGTACTCTTGGCAGAGGGCTGTATTCAGTTGCTTAGATTTGTCTTCCCCCACCCAATCTAGATGAGCTAAAAGATTGATATGGCAAATCTTTGAAAGGGGATGGAGCAAAAGTCTCTTTAGCCTGAGATGCAGTTTAAGGTTCCAAAAATAAAGAGGATTAAAAATTCTGCAAAAAATAAAAAATAAAAAGGGGTGTGTGACCACAGCCCACTGTTCAACCACAGTAACAAGTATCTACATAACTGAGGAGGAGGCACTGCTTCCCATGCTAACACTAGAAAAGGACATGGGTTATACAAAGGTTGTTTAATCTTGCCATAGCCTGCACTGGCCAGACATATTCAACACAACAACCCACACTGAGGAGTTCAATATCTGGAGTGATGTCCATGGATGCTGCAGCTCATTGTCTTAAATAAGTTACAATGTGACATGTTACACTGTTTATTTAACGTTTTTATATCCCACCCTTCACAACGTCTCAGATACAGAAGTAGGCAACAGTGCATATTCTTCCTCTTGGCTCAAGATAGACATGGGGAGCTATTGGTACAACATCACAGACCAGCAAGGATTACTTAACACATAGTGAGGCTGTGCTGTACACAACCACCATTCTGAATGTACAAATTCCACTCTGGGGCTGTCGTGCTGTGTGAACCTGGTGTCTTCAGGTCATGTAGGATTTCCATAACCATGCTCAGTGGATACATATTCAACCAACTCTGAGCCGATTAAATAACCCCCAAGAAGCTGTGATGTATCATCCAAAATTGCTTCAAACCCTTGGGAGCACAGGAAAAGTTTCAGGAGCAGCTCATGCTTTTTTCAGAATTTGTTCGTGCTTCCATGGTAACATTCACATTATATTTTAACAAGCCTAAAATTGCCATATATAAAACTGGGATTATTGTCTGTCACAAATAATGGGAAATTATGTACCTATTATTGCAAACCCTATGCAGGCTTCACACAGTAATACTGAAACAAATGCAGAATGTAGAGCAAATACTGTGTCATAACCTAATGAGGAGCATGACAACTAGGCCAGTTTCTAGAACTATTAGCTAATATAACCAGAGTAAAAAATATTTCCCAGTTCTAGATATAGTAGTTAGTTAGTCTAGAACTGGGCAATTTGTTGTGAGGCCACTGCTTAAGAAATATTCTTGGGGCCTAAGGATTGTGCCAACTACCAACCCATTACAAGTGTAAGCCACAACTTACTTCTGATTTTAATATAAAAAGAATTTTATTAATATAAAAAGAATATGATTTGCTCAATTGCTAAACAGATAGTGGGTATATTTTACAACATTCTTATCCAGAAGTAGGTCCCTTTAATTTGAATTGGTAAAAATGCTGATATCAGAAATTTAGAAAAGTTGAGAGCATAGTTTTATGTGGGGCAATTGTCATAAGATCTATAAAAGTACCTCTTTGCGTTTCTCCTCCAGTACATTCCTGAGTGTAGCTATCTCCTGTTCTCGTATAGCTAAACAGGACTCCAGTGCTTGAGTTTGGCTTTCCCATTCAGCTTTCTTATGAGCCACCATGATATCTATCTGTTTCATCAGCTCCTGCAGTTCAGCCTCACATGAAGTCAGGAAGCCCCTGTTGCCAACAAAAGAGCCTGTTTTGACCATACAGTAGATATCATTATGGAAATGCCAGGTAAGCTGAATTTCTTGTGTGCCTCTCTTTTTCATAATATCAAGATCACCCCCAGACAACAAATGCAATGCAATTTCTTCAACAATCTTTGTCCAAATCCCTTAATTTCAATCGCAAAGAATAGGTTCCTTCAGCCAAAAACAGTAAGGATAGTACTCAGTGATAACATGTAACAGGGCAAAATGGCATAATTTGAGCATACTGTGGATTCAGTGCAAGACACATAAGGATAAACAAACCTACTCGCATCCCCAGATATCATTTGTTGTTTTCTTCACTGCTTCATAGCATATATTCTCTAAGCAACACACACAAATATAGAACAAAATTAAAATAAAAAAGTTACTTATAAAGTTACTTATATATTTATAAGCTGCCAAACAGCTCAAATGAGCTCCCATACACAGCATACAGCAATAAAATTGCAGCCAATGATTAAAACTATCTTTAAGAACAACCAATTAATAACAATACTAACATAGACAGACCAGGTGAAATGGACAACCAAATAGTCATTAAAATACAATAAAATTAAGACATTAATTATTAACATTATTTAAATGGATGGAGAAGAGACATGTTTTCACCTGGAGGTAAAAACAAGAGCAAAGCTGCCACCAGGCAAACTTCTCTAAGGAGTCTGTTTCACATGTGGGTGGATGCACACCTTAACATGCTGCCAAAACAAGACCAGGAGCAGTTTGCGGTAGTGACCAAGAACTAATAATATCATAAATCAGAGTCAAGATGGAAAAGATCACTAACAGAAGCAGAGTGCCAAGAACAACTTAAAGAACTTTGATAAGGAATGTAAAGTCCACATAAGAAAATATTTGCATTACTCAATTTATTAGGAAAGACAGTAAAATCACAATTACTTTGAAAAGGAAAGAAAAAGCATTGATGGGTGACTGAAGCTTTTGGAAGGAATTAAAGCATCCAGAGTCAATAGGATACCAATAGAATTATTCCAAGTTGCACAAACTAAATCTGTCCAAATCCTAACAAGAATTTGCCAACAAGTACAGAAAACATTGGCCCAGCATTTGAAACATTCAATACACATTCCAGTTCCCAAGAAAGCAGAGACAAAAGAAAGTAGCAACTAGAGGACCACTGCACTAATTTCCCATGCGAGCAAAGTGATACACAGGGTGTAGTAATAACTACATGGAGCAAGACATTCCTTATACTCAAGATGGATTCTGAGAAGGAAGAGGCACCTGAAATCATATCGCAAATATACCAAAGAACTCCAGATTAGTCTATGCATTCTACACTACAGCAAAGCCTTTGACTGTGTGGATCCTGAGAAGCTATGTATAGTACTGAAAGAAATGGCAGTGCCTCAGCACTTGATTGGGTTGACGCATAACATGTATCATGGACAAGAAACTACAGTTAGGACAGAATGTGGAGAAACAGAATGGTTTCTTACATGCAGAGATGTCAGAGAAGGGTTCTCCTTACCTGTTCCATCTGTATGCAAAATATATCACGAGGAAAGCTTGATTAGCCCCATAAGAAGGATGAATGAAAATCAATAATTTAAGATATGCAGATGATACCATACTACTGGCAGAAAGCAGCAATTACTTGCCAAGACTCTTAAGAAAAGTGAAAGGAGGAATTACAAAAGCTGGATTGCCAAAGAATATTAAGAAATACAAAAATCATGACTACAGAAGAATTATGAAATTAAATGCTAAGAAAGAACTAGAAAAGGGGAAAGATTTTATATATCTTTGTGGAGTCATCAATTCAAACCAAGACTGCAGCCAAGAAATTAGAAGCCAACTGAGACTTGGAAGGGCAGCAATGAAGGAACTAGAAAAGATCATCAAGTATAAGGGCATTTCACTGGTGACCAAGCCCATACAGACTGTAAGTTCTTAAACAGAGCAGAATGAATGACAACACAAAGATGGAACAAAAACATGTGCAATCTAGTAGCAAGTGTTGGCAATCTAGCAATCTGGTCACACTAATCAGTTAAGATTGCTCTGCTGATTTCTTTGGAACTTTATAAGTTGTTAGAGCAGAGACAGTACCCTGGAGAAAAATAAGTTCTTGCCAATCTTTACCCCTTTAATTTGTCTGTCAAATACAACGGTTTTAAAAGACATGGAAAGCAACAGGTTAAGAGATTGAAATTCTTCATTTTCCCCAGAGTGTCCATTATACTTTTGCAACCCAACATATTTTCTATAGGGATAAATACCTTTAAATATGCTGACTTCCTTGTTGCACAATAGGACCTTAAAATAAGCCACACTTTTGCTCAAAACTGGAAATTTCAGTTTAGGATACAAAAAGTAGTTTTATATGTAATCTGCTTGAACAACTATTTGTCAGTTTTGACAGACAACAGTTCTCCTGAGTCACTGCAGAAGCTATTCCCAGAATTGCTACATGAAACCCTGTAGTTGGAAATGCTGATAAAATATGATCAGGAGGTAGGGAGTTTCGAGTGCAGTGGATGAGTCTATTGGGAGAATGGGGCTATTTCTTATTGAGTTCAGCCACAGTGGGGCTGCAGTTTGTGTAGCTTCTATTTTCAATATGCAACCCCCTACTTGAGTCAGATGAACTCAGTAAGCATGAGCTACACGAGGGTTAAACAACCTCACATAATGCACATTTGCAAGGTTCCCACAATGCAACAGCTCCCAAGCAGGAACTGCATATGTGAGCTGAAACATATGAGAACAGTGGCTTACTGTGTGTGTTGAATAGTGCTGAACCAGTCACAAAATATCATCCAAACTCAGTGATTAGATACTACTACTAATGAATGACCTGTTTCATCAAAATACAGCTCAAGGCCTTCCCATATAAACTTGTTTAGCATATTCCAAACATGATTCTGGACAACATACACTGTTAACACACTAGGCAAATTGTACTTTGATCTCAGTTATGACAAATATGTTAAAGCCTGGCATCCTTCAATTTGCAGATTGTACTGTAAGATCTACTGTATTTACTAGGAGAAAAGATTTGACACTAGATACTACCGATGTCAAGATTTATTTTAAGGACTGTAAAGCAGGGGTCCCCACCCTGCAGCCCCCAAGCTCTTGCTGTGCGGCACTCCATCCTGCTTGTTCACTGCTATTTTCAAGGTATTTTCCCTCAGACCCACACTGTTCTTCCTGCCTCAAGCAGCACCATCTATTGCTGTTTTTCTTGTCCCTTCCTTACAAAATACAGTAAGCATGTAAGGCTGCACTCTTAAGTACAATTATTTGGAATAAAGTCCATTACATATGGCACACACAAGTTTCCCTATCATCAAGCAAAACTGCTCCACAGTGCAGCTGACTTTTCAACCAACTTTCGCAGCTTCAACAAAAGCTATGATATGCACTCATTAGAAGGCAAAGTAAAGCACCAGGCATGATTGCTGGAAAACACTACAGAGACGGATCTACCACTGAATTACAGTACAGGCTTAAGCTAACTAAAACAATTAAACCAAAATATTTAATAGACTGAGATTACTTCATTAATGAAGTATCCAAGTTCTGGAGAATTTCACTTCACAAGGGAAATTTTAAAAGAACATTCTGGCAGCTGTAGCAGTTATTTTTCTATCAGAATGGCAACACTCACCAGAAATTACATATCTGAAAGGCAGTATCATGGTTTCACATAATCACAAGAGAGAGCTGAACACAATAACTGCAGTAACAAGATATGCTGGGGACAGAGGAAAGCCCACATGCAAAAAAGTATTTACATTTTAATAAAATAAAAATTGTATATGCATACCTGCCTTGTCCTTGCCTTTGCATTCTGTCTAATAATGCCTCCATCCTGAAATCTCATCCTTTGGGGCAGCTGAAAAAGCAAACAAAGCAAAGGTGATGCTATAGCAATTCATCATTATGTCCAATCCCTAGCTAGATGACTGCAAAATGTGTGAGATGTGTCTGACAACTGTGAAAGGGTGAAGAAAGGGTGAAGAATTACACAATTTACAGTACAGAAGGAGGGAATATTTGTCACTTCAATAAATTTGCAGGCCAAACAGACAGGCTATACATGTTTTAAAATGGCAAGAAAATAAAGTAATTTTCACACAACACCAGGATTTACTAACATGTTAGTAAAGTCAGGTCATAGTTTCAGACCAAAAACATAGTAGAGATTATATGGCTGCAACATTCCAAGATCAAGAATGCCAGTATCAAATATATGGGTCTGCTTGCAATTATTTTGTTGTTTGTGTGCCCTGCTCTTTCCCTATGAGGCATGACCAATCAAGGTCGATCTTCCAGCAGAACTACTACAAGGGGTTAAAAGAAAGTTTGGGAGGCCATTTTGAAGAAGTACAGCTAGTCTGAGAGGTTCCATGGCCCTGTTCTAATGGACTAGTTTTAAAATGTGGGCTAAAAAGCTTACATTGTATATAACATTCTTACAGACTTTTTAATTCCTATGAGACAGAGACATAGTTTCCCAGAGAAATGGCCTCTGTTGGGAAGATCAGGTTGTGATGTACAAATGAAGAGATTACAAGGTTCTCAGGTATTCTGTTACTCAGATAACCCAACTTGGCAATTACTTGTTAGGAATGACCATACAGTAATACCTTGGCTCATGAACTTAATCTATTCCAGGACTCTGGTCATGACCCAAATTGGTTGTGAGTCTAGTCAAATTTCCCCATAAGGGTCAACGTAAATAAGGTTCATCCGTTCTGCAACTATTTTTTTTTACTCACAAAAATTTGAAGCAAAGTGACAAAGAACAACAAATATCACAGCCATCTCCCCCCCCCCCCCCCCCCGCAACGGTGCGGGGGGTGGGGGGGGGACGGGCCCGATCACAGGCACGTTGGGGGGGAGGCAGGCGTGCTTGGGCAGGGAACACAGGCACAATCGCGGCTATCTCCCCCCACCCAGCACGACCATGATCGCGCCCATGCAGGGAAGGTGGGCGTGCTCGCGACCATCACCCAATGCAGAGTTCGCAACCTGCAGCAAAATTTTTATGAAATTTCTGTTCGCGATCCGATTCGGTCATGAACTGAGGCACCACTGTACTAGGGGGTTGGTTCATCTGGTCAAGATTCAGCACCTGCATACTTCATACAGTTGTATGTCTACAAACCCAATTAAAATAATCCTTAGCCAACATTACATGTGGCAACCATCATACAGCTCAAGCATACATGTACCTGGACTAAAGCATTCTCTTCATGGCCTTATGCAAACCATAGGGAAAATATCGCATACCAACTTCTTTTAACACAAAATAGCAATTCTTAATTAACTACATCAGCACTGAGTTGCTTAGAGATAAACCTGCTATCAGTCAAATAACAATTAAATATTCATTGCTTAATGAAGCATCACAAATTCAGAAATTACCTGAATGCTGCCTTGTAACATTTAATACTTGGATAGTCCAAACAGAGACATTGTTTCACTTGATTACTTGTTTTTTTTCCTGCACAGTAGCAACTAAGTTTCATTTCTGTTAGGATAACAGCACAGAAAAGGCAAGAGTATGAACATGAAACTAGTTCCTTTAGAAGTTCATATGCTAAATATTTCAATTCTTTTTGCTAATATATTGTTCATAATTGTTTTCCTATGCTTTCCTCAAAACCCAGAAATAATTTAATAATTTACTAATGCCCACTAGTTACCTATCCTTCCCTAGTAAATTGGCAACTTTGGGTGCATCAGTCTAATGTGGATACAAAAATACCTTTTGCAGAAAGGGCATTTTTCAGACTATAATTATATTTTAATTAGTCCCCTGTGCAGACTGTGGAGAATACAGAGTGCAGATCCATTCTAGTTTCCAGGACACTGCAATTTCTTGCAATTAGCAATTCTGCTATCATAAACTGCATGTCTTTCAGAGCAATTCTATAGCTGCTGGATGAGAGATATACTGCCACTATGCCAGTAGAAAAGCCATTGTGAAAAATGCATGTGCAGCTTGGAAAGTGGAAAACAGTTGGAAAATACAAGAACAGTGCAGAGAAAATAAACACCACATCCACTGTGCCCCTGGAAACAGCATCAGGGCCTGTTCTAGCAGCTACATCCAAATACCGAGCAGCCAAGTGAACTCACCAAGATGGAAACATACTCTCAGTACATATTTTGCATCACTATATTCATAAGATTAAGCTACAGCACTCCATCCTGTGAAATCCAGTAAAAGTCAGCAAGAACCCACCTAGCAAAAATTTCTAAGCATCCTGTCAAGCAAGGATTCAGATTTTGTTCTCACAGTACACAAATACGAGGAAGAAAAAACCCATACAACATAGCACCCATATGCAGTCTCCTTCAAAGAAAACATACAGCCCTTCTAGAACAACGGCTGAAGATCCACCCATGGTGGATCATAAGCCAAGGGCCAGAATACACACCAGAGACAGTTACAGACACATACCAACAGCAGCAGTCTTCAACGGTTCATTAAAGAGAGCCGAGAAGCAGCAGATAGGTATCTGAGTTCCATCAGTATTTAAAGCACTGAAGAGCAACTTGAGTCCTCCTTCTCGATATCTTGATCTTTAACTTCCATCCCCTTTGGTCCTGTTGGCAAGGGCTGATTTGAGGTTGAAGGCCAAAAAACACACGTTGCCTACCTCTAGTTGAAGAAGTGTTAGCAATATGTTCATGTTCCTGTATGTGTTGTGAGACTAGTCTATTTTGTGCACATTGCTGTTTTTTCAGAGTTTCCCCACCCTCAATGCTTCCCATGTAAGCTCTAAGTGTGCACAACAGAGAATCAAAGAGATGTCACTCCATGCCATGAGTCATGATCTCCCTGTAGGACTTATACAATCCAAGTGGTTTGCTATGGTAAGATGTTGAATTACACATCTTGTCTTTTGTCACAGCAGTAGAGGCCAAGCAACTACCAACACAAAAGCAGCTATTTAAGTTCCTCTCCACCCATTAATATCACTGGAAGAGGAAAAATTCTTTGTGCCAGGTCTGGAGTGGACCGTTTGCCTCATTGGTCAGTGCATGGCCACGGGCTGAAAGAATATATGATAGAGGTCTAGTATGCTTCTCCCCCTAGTAGCCCACAAGTCCAACTCACTTTGGTTATTCTTCTGGCTAGTGCTCTTCCAGTGTAGCAGGGCTTCTGCCAAATTCTATTGCTCCTCAGATCTTGAATATAGAATGTTGCACTTAATAACCAAAATCAAAATGTATTAGACCTTTAAGCACATGTCAGCTAGCTATCCTACTTTAAGTTACAGTCTATAAGGACGATTAGATTGCACAACAGCCAGATTTTTTCATGAATAATAAGAGGTTAAAACAATTTAGTTTTGCTTTCTACTACCTGTTAATTATATCTATAACACGCGAGGCATAATTCATAAATTAGTTTAACATGTAGTTTAATATAAAGAACACTACATTTTAATATGCCAATAACAATGCAAGCATTTTTACGCATCAGGAAGCTGTTGTACTTGCCAATGAATACTCAGATATTCACAAGATAAAAGGTAAAGCATCATTTAGGTAGTCACTAGTACAGCTTTACTTTGCCTCACATGCTCCTTACCCATCCCACTCTAATTTAACCTACCATAGTTATTTTGTTTGGCAATCAATCGGTTCTCATCAAAGCTTAACTGGAAGACATGGTTTGAAGATGCTGGCCAGTTCTGCTTTCCTCACATGCCATTGTTCACCCAATTTGATTATTACAACCACCTATGGTTTGCCTGATCAGAAAGAAAGGGAGGGAACTGTGGCATGCAAGAGGAAAGAGTATACAATCCAGAGATGCATACTTTCCAGTCACACAAAGAACAGAAAGACATTCTATACACAGAATACAGATGTCAAATAAAAACTGTCACAGTAACACTTATGTGAACATGAATCAGTATTTATGTGGAGACTAAAGAACAGCATTTGCTAGTTTCTATAAAGATCCTCACATAAACAATATACACTGTCATCAATATCTTCAAGAATGAATTTATGAATTGGTGGCTGCACATATAGCTTCTAACACCAAGCGTGCAGAACCTCAGGCCTGCAAGCCAAATCCTGAGTTCCCCACAGGTTATACCTCCTCTCCCAGATCATATGGCAGTCTTCTAGCTTTTCTGTTCTTTTCACCCATTTTAAAAAACTGAAAAGCCTCTGCTAAGGCTTAGTTATTGTGGTAGGTGCTTTCAGGTAAAGCATGCTGACATTTGGTTCCATCCACCACTGCAATCCACACCCCACCTTTCTAATGAACTGTATTCCAATTCATGCTTGGAGCTTTTATGTAATCCCAGAGAGTTCCGTAAATGATTTTGAAGCACAACACATATCTGAACTAGGTTGTAATATAGGTATCATCCTGAATCATAAAACAAAATGCCATTGGTCACATACTCCTGCAACCTCCTCTGATACATTATTATGATTGCTTTATAATTTTAAAGTGTTGTGAGCCACCTTAAGACACTTTGTCCTGAAAAGCAGCCTGAAAATACTTTTGCTTTGAAATATGCAGTTTAGTATTGCTTCAGAAGTTCAACAGACCATTAACCCATGCAAAATATGGACTGAACCCCAGTTATCAGTGGTGTATTAAATGCCAACTAGTCATCATTACATCTTAGAACTGGGCCTCCTCCCTCTCATCACAGCTGAAAAATCAGCAGATAAAACGAATTGTACAAATCAGCCCATGCTTGCTTTAAAAGGAACTAAGTGGGTGGCATGTGGCATGGGATTCTAGTTAACAATTCAAGCCTATAGCTTATAAGAAATGATTCAATAAGGACCTCAGATAAAAGGAAAGTCACTTTCAAAAGTTAAGTATTATACCAGAATTAACGAAATAAGATAAACTTTAAGGAAAGGTGAGATTGAAAAATCACAAGCTCACTATTTAGGAATAAGCTCCACTGAGGGTGATACTTACTTCTGAGCAAACACAGGAGTGGGCAGCAGAATGCTCCATATAAAATACAGCCTTAACTATTCTTTGCCACAACTGCAACAAGAATAAGTTTGCCTGCTTTCCAACCCTTCTTCAGAACTGTGCTTTTAACAAAGGCTCAAGAGGTGAGCTCTAATATTGATAATGAGCTCACAGCCACAACAGCTTTTCTTACAGTTAAGTTCATTATGATTTTAAGGTTCCACAAAGTTTGTTTATGCTGTAACAAGTAGGTTCAGGCAACATGATAATCCACACTCAAGAGTTGAGTGTAGGTTGTTTAAACATGGGTTGTTGCATTGTCTGAACCCACCATCTCTTGCAAAAACACAAGCAACACATGAAGAGAATGCATTCTTTGTTGTTAGTCTGTGAATTGTTTTATTCACCATAGTTTGCTATCTCAGCTGGGGTCAGACAACACAATAAACCCCATTTCGACAGCTCAGCCCTGGCGGGTCATTGCCCATTCTGAACCCAGTCACCTGCTACTACCGCACAGGAAAGAGGGCATTCCCATGGCAGAGTAAATGTTAGGTACTGCTTTTTAGGTACAATGCTATGCATATTTAGAAGAAAGAACGTCCTACAACTCCCAGCATTCTTCACCAAGTATAACTGGCAAGACTTTCTTGTGTCTAAACACCCCCTAAGTTTTTGCCCTTAAAGGCCCCGCTTTCCAAGGACCGAAGAAAATTCGCTGGGCAGGCCGAGGACCAAGAAAACACAAACCAAAAGGAAGAAGGGCCATGACGCTTAGAGGAGCAAGCGGAGGGCGGAAAATAGACGACGATTTCACACACACTCGTCGCCGCGTTTACGAGCGTACATCGCAGAGTCCCCGCACCATCCATGCCGACGAACAGGCAGCCGCTAGAGCGAGCCCAACGCCCGGGGACCAAGCGAGGGAGGAGACTCGGTGCCAAGCGTGGAGATGCGGTAACGAGACGAGAAGGGCTCGAAGCAGAGGGAGCCCAGCCGCTACGCGCGCACCAGGACGAAGGTCGGCGAACAGAGAGCCAAGTTTCTCACACCTGCTGAAGTTCTTCTCCCCACTGCTCTCTCCCACGCTAGCCCGTTGGCCACGCCCCCACATCTTCAACGGTTACCTCAGAATCGGGGGTCGCTGCCCAGATAAGGACTCTCGCCCGCGCTATTCGGGAAGACCTGCCAAAACCCATTCCCTCGCCCCGCCGGCAGTGTCATCTCTATGGTTTACGTCCGCGGGCTAGAGCTACTGCCTGCGACGTCATCTCCTCTGCTCCCAACAGAGGACAATTTCCGGTGCCGCTCGCCTCTCGCGGCTGAAGTGATGGATGCGTTTCGGAGGTCTGGTGTTTTCTGTCGGCTGCCCTTTCCCCCTCTCCTGAAAATGACGGAGTGATAACTTGGCAGGCGGGAAACAGGAGGACGCGTATTAAGAGTGCAGAAGTTAATAGGATCCCATCTGATTACCCGCGCGGCTTGTGGCTATCAAGAAGCATTAATCGGTTCTGTAAAGCACAGGTAATACTAATACGAATAATAGCGATAATATTCGAAGTGTTTGATAAACTGTTTAATCGTAATCCTTGTCAAGAAATCTGACCATGGTCTATGTTGAAGTCCAAAATTATCTGGAGGACACCAGTTTGGGGAAGGTGGTGCTAAAGATGCATGCTCTCAGAAAGTTCTTGGTAAATGCTTCAGAAAAGAAGCTTTTATGGATTTGTAACTTAATAAAGAAGGATGCAGGGGGGATGTATGAGTACTTGTTGAAATGGAGGGAAGTGTTGAGGAAGCCCAGGGAGTGGTACTGTTTAACTTGTTCACAAATTAGTTGGAGTTAAAATGAAGCTGACTCTTAGCTGAGCAGATCAGAGGAAGCTTTTCAGTTCGGTTAGGAACTCTAGAATACAAGCAGCCAAGTACCCAGGAAGAGCAAACAGGAGTCGGTGGCAGAGTGGTAGTGGAAGGAGACAGACAGAGGCAAAGCGCTGAGGAGTCTGCACCAGCCTGGCAAACAGACTTTTCTAAGAGACCATGTGCTCCTCAGAACTACAACTGGAGCTAACAATTACTCCCACAGCTAACACTCCTCTCTTCTTGTTCTTGCAAGCCTTGGTATCATTGCTAATACTTGGTTGACCTTTAGCCTCTTGTTCAGTGTTGCATGGAATGACCTGTACTTATTCCACAGCAGGCTGCTCTCCACAGTCTCATCCTTGAGTAACAGAAAGCAGTTCAAGAGTTCCACTGGTGCAGAGTGTGTTCTGCACCTGTCTCCCTTTTCCAGGGAGTTTACTCCTAATTTTCCTTCAGGTTTTTCTTTTTCTGCCTCAGCTTGCTGATGTCGTTCTTGCTTCAGTACTACTCTTAGCTGTTGCAGTTCCACCAATTTGTCTTAAAACTCTCTTTCTATTACTTGAGGGTGGACATTTGCTGCTTTTGTGTACTCACCTTTTCCTGTAGAAGGACTCCTAGCTTGCATTTGTAGGCCATGTTGACATCAGGCAGGAAAACAAACATTGCACAGACATTGTAGGTCACCACCACTGCGGAATCTTCTCTGTGCATTTTTTCTGCTGTCTTTTTGATTCTAGTTACTGGACCTGTGGTAACTACTAGTGCTCTGTCCTGTCATCCTTGAAGGTTAACAGCACAGTCCAAGCAGTAAATGGGAGTGTGTTATAGGGAAGAAAACAAAGTGGGGAGAAACTAAGCGGGGAAAGTAAAAAAAGTTTTTAAGAATTGAAAAAAAGTTAAGGAACCTCCATCACTGAACTCTGCTGCCAAACTCTTATTTGCTTTCCTTGTATGCTTGCTTCCTGGGAGCTTGTATCCCAAAGTCCCTGAACTAGCTGGGGCAGCCTCCTCTGATCTGCTCAGCTAGGAGTCAAGAACCAAAATAGAGGACAGAGCAATTGCCAGATAACTGTAGAAAGGCAAATGTTGTCCTTATCCTCAAAAAAGAACCTGGGAACTTCAGACCAATGAGTCTGACATCAATCCCTAGGAAAATCTGGAGTATATTATAAAGCAGTCAGTCTGCAAACACCTTGAAAACAATGTGTTGATTACTAGGAGCCAACATAGATTGCTCAGGAACAAATCCTGCCAGCCTAATCTGATTTCATTTTTTGATTGGTAACCTCCATGATGGACTGTGGGGATGGAGTGGACATACTTTATCTTGATTTCAGCAAAGATTTTGACAAAGTGCCCCATGATATCCAGATTAGCAAACTACTCGTACCTAAAGTTGGACTAAATCTTCTGATCCCTTCCAATTCTACTATTCTATGATGCTATGAACCCAGGGAATCTGCAGAGAGCTCCCAAAAAATCTCTCCAACTGAACTGAATGAGCATCCAATAGAAAAATAAACTTAATTATATGTGTAAGTGTAAAGTTGGCCAAATGTGCATAAAAAGGCCTCAGCTGTATATACAAATTGTTTGAAGTATGTTCCATTTCAGTTTATGGTGCTTCATTTCAAGGAAATAGGCTTATGAGTGGCATATTGGATCAGAAGTAGTCTATCGATACAAATGCTTCTGTGTATGTCATAGGCATAATTCTCTCTAACCCATCCAAAGATGGACAGTGAAGTACAGAGGGATGGGAGAATCCTGGATTTGATTGATGATGCATGGAGAGAAGATAAGTTACCATATGAAGATGTGGCAATACCATTGGTAAGTGACGGCTCCTAGTGTGCTTCTGAATTGGTTTCCCTATGCAGACTGGTTTCATTTCCTTCATTTGTCCCACCATCAAGCGTCAAAAAGCTCTACAATAAGAATCATATGAATTTTTAAACGAGCCAAGATCTTGCATCACAAAGATGCAAAAGAACTTGATAGATATGAAACTAAGCATCTGTACTGCTGCCATGTTTCTAAGTACTTTGTGTGTGTGCAATCTAGAGTAGTGATGGGGAACATGTGGCCTTTCAGATGTTGAACAGCAACTCTGGTCATTCCTAACTATTGATTATGCTGACTAGGTGTCACAGAGTGTACCCCTTCCCACAAGGGAAATGTTTGGCTTTTCACAGTTTTCATCCCAAAGGAAAGATGTGGCCACGAAAATAAAGCAGGTGTAGACTGTATTAATCTTTGTTATATCACAGATCACTCGTCAATAGCTGCAGGATCAGACTACTTAGAGCTAACTTTAGTAAGCTGCAGCAGGATAAGGTGGAGGGAAAAAAACCAAAACAATATCAATAAGTAGCTACAGGAACATGATTTATGCTCACAGAGTAAGTTAATAGCTGCAGGATATGTAAGAAAACCTATATTGTGATGCCAGCCACAGATTTTTGTAGAATCAAGATGATCTTGCACTGATTTTCTGGTACTCTTCTCTCTGTGTTGTCCTAACTGCTGTTGACAACACTCCTTTCTGTTGACTACTACACTCCTGTTCTCCTTTCTTTTCTAGCAGCCACACCTCTGCTTTAGTTCCTTAAACTACTAATAATCCCACTGCTCTTTTCCCTTTTCTACCCCTTGCCAAGCCTTTGGATCTTTGTTCCTTTCTGTTTCTCTTTTGAGCCACCCCTCTTTCAAAGTATTTTGTTCCAGCCTTGTCTCTCTTCTATCCCCTAAGCTTCTGGCATTCAAGCTTTTATCCTTTGATTCTATCCCACCTCCTAGATCTCCCTCAGAATTCTTGAAGTATTTAAAGATTCCCTTTCCTACTGTTTAATTGGCCTTAGCTATGGCTGTTTACTGTTGCCATAACCCTCCGTGACTGATTCTAACACTAGTGCTGGTGGGAGTAGATATCAAACAGATTCAGGAGGGCCACACATTTACCACTTCTGATCTTAAAGAGTCTCATCGCTTCAATGAATTGTTGCAATCCATTATATGTGTCTGTGTATACTGCCCTAAAATCAATCTTGTAAAGAAGCCCATGACAATTAGCAAGGGTGTAATTATATGTACATTTAGAGAGAAACAAGGCTTACAGCTCACAACAGTCCTTTGCTGGGAGTTGTAGGACATTTTTCTGCTTAAACATGTATAGGATTGCATCCAAATGCACAAACAGAACAACTAGTCTGCTACCTCTCTAAGCAGGTATCTGAAGGAGCATCTCCTTTGCTATGTGCCTGCCCGCCCCTTAAGATTTAGGTTGCAATTCCTTCTTTGGGAGCCCTCCTTGAAAAAGATTAGGAGAGTGGCTACCTGGAGAAGGGTCTTCTCTGCAGTGGCACCCCAGCTGTGGAGCATGTTCCCCTAAGAGGTGCGCCTGGCACTAACACTTTATTCTTTTTGGCACTAGGTCAAAACCTTTTTAGTTTCCCATTATTTTAAGACTTATTGGTGTCAGGCTTTTATCATATATATTATGCTGTGCCTTTGTTGTTGGACCATCCTGAGGCTTTTATGTATAGGACAGGCTATACAAGTTTTTAATAAATAAATAATTAACCAAGCAAGCATGTGAAAATACATTCTATCCTCTTGGGAAGGTAATAAAAGCCTACCAAATGGACAGGCAGAGAAAGGATGGGTCAGTTCATCACTCCTTTGCCTTCCCTCTGCATTTCCATGCTCTTTACAGAGAAATTGGTTCAATTTAACTAAAAAAGTTTTAGTTTCAAAAAAAATGAAAAAGATCACAAGCGTTACCTATACTGTTTTCAGGACTCAAAGGCTTTTCCACCCTGCCACATATATTAATATTATTAATAACTATTCCTTTAAACTCATTTGCTGTAAATGCTAGAATGATAGTGAAAGATGAAAGACCTATTAAATGTAATCTTGTACATGAATCATTTAGATTGCAACCCTAAACCTACTTACCATACCTTACTTACCTACTTGCTTCTGAGTAGGTTTGTGCAATAAACAGGTAATTGCTTTGACAGCACTACTTCAGTGCACTTTCTTATATGTTTATATTCATTAAGAAAGGATGTTACCTTTCTTTACACATGAAAAGATGTGTCCATGTAGATTGCTTTTCTGGGTTCCTGCTGCCCTTCACCTTCATTGAGGAATAGATATTGTTCAAGTTCACCACTTCCAGGCTGTGTAGGGGAGATCAATATACTGAACAGCATGTGCATGGTGTTATAAAAATCATTTCAGATAACATGAATGAGATGCCTTGCAACTATGGTGAAAAAACTCAGGAGGACCTAAAAGCAAGTAATTGCTTCATAATGTTAACACAAATGAGTTACTAGGAAATGCCACAGCAAGCATGTTTAAGTATACCATGTAGCTAGATTTAGACATGTAATGGAGCGACCTGGGTCACTAGAGCTGCTGCAATATATAGCTATAATGAAATGAGTCAGAACTGTCTCACAAGAGTTGCTTTAATTGAACTGTCAAAAGCCATGTTATGTGCCACTGTACTTATGCATCTTCTCTGAACTGGTATTCCTGGGATGTACAAGAAACCTGTTGTAGAAAGCATTGTTAGCCTAGGTGGGATAGTTACATGTGCGATTTCATCTTTAGGCAGCAATCATAAGTATATATATTCAACAAAAGATCTCATGGAACACAGTAAGGCTTCTAACTGTATTGACATCCTTATACACATTTGCTCTTTACATCTTATAGAGTCCACCACGTTTCAATGTATGCATGGGATTACAATCTTAACAGCATACTCATGTTTACGCATTTGTTTACTCAGTAATAAATTACCCTGATATCAGTGGAGCATATTCACTAATAAGTCTGCTTAGAATTGCCACTTTAATTGGCAAACTTTTACTTTCTGGTTTGAACACATGAGTACAGTGTTCAAACCAGAAAAGGCACTGAGAAAAAAATCTACTGAGACCACCCACAGAAGTTCAAAGTTGCTTCTGCATCTTTCACACCCTGCACAACACTTAAATGACCAATTTCAGTCCTCTAAGTATTTTGCCTAGAGCATGAGGAAAGAAGGCAGAGATGCTGCCATGATTCAAAGATTCTTGGTCACATTTGTCTCATCCCCCCTTGCCCATGCACAAAACTCCATCTTTGAGGTTGCTCTTGTAGCCTCAGAGCCACAATGAGCATAGTTGTTTCCATGCTGGCTGTGAGGGTAGAGGGAAAGCACTCCAACTTTAGACCCCAGCTCCAATCACAGAGCAAGATTCTGAGGTTGGCGCTAGGGCGCCATATAATCCTATGGCTGGATAGACTAAAGCTGCATAGTAAGCATGCTTACTTGATTGTAAGCTTTTTAGGTTTGCAATTAAAGGATGCTTAACTTCTGCATCATTTCTTTCAAAATTATTGTTGTATCTGTAATGTCAGAATTGATTTGGCATATTACAAAAATGTGATTTGTTTTTCTTCCTCATTTCACATTTTATAGTCCCTAAATTTATTGGTGTTAAATATATCTAAATTATTGCTTTTTGGAATTTGGAAAATATATTAATGTATTTTCTGTTTTCAGAATGAGCTGCCTGAACCAGAACAAGATAATGGTGGAACAACAGAATCAGTAAAAGAACAAGAAATGAAATGGACTGACCTGGCTTTGCAATATCTTCATGAGAACATTCCTCCAACAGGAAATTAGTCTTTCAGTACTACTTCGTGCAGTAATTTCTCTGCAGAGATGTTTCTGGTGGCTCTTTGTCAGCTTTTATTAACCTACTGCAAGATGGAACAAAAACATTTACTAGTTGGATCCCAGGAGATATATGCACGCATAACATCTGCATACAATGTGTGTTAAGTGGCCATTTATTAAAATATAGTTCAAATACCATAGCTTTTTAAATGTCTTAGTTTTTGTGATATGAGCAAAATATATGAAATCTGGTCACAATAGTGATAAACGTTGACCTAATACTAAATTATTTACATGTCATATTGGACTTGGTGATCAAAATAGAGAAACAAACTGAACTTTCCTTCCGATTGAGATAAGCTTTGAAATTATAGAAGCATTTCTATAGAGAGGAACTTGAGCAGCAATTTAGCTACTATGGATTCAGGTGGATCTATTGCCAATTTCAGGCAGCACACTCAAAAATAAATCTGTCCTGTTACTGTCTTTATGTGAGGGTGCTAACTAATAAGCTCAACTGGAATGACCTTAAAATACAACAGAGGGTGCTATACAACTGTTTCATCTCATGCAATTTTTGTTTGAATGCCTACTATGCTACTCCGGTGCTAAACACTTCCTTGAATTATCCAGTAGAGGTCGCAAAAGTAGAATGGTGTGCCTTTCTAGGCAACCTTTGGTAAGCATATGAATGCTTACGTTTTGGGATTTTTTCTTCTTAGAGTCATTTCTTCTGACTGTGAATTTGCTTTTATTGAAAGTCACGAAGGTTTGCCAGCTCAAAGCTTACTGAGTTGCTCTTTTAGAAGAAAAATTGATGCAGCAATATGCATAATAAAACCTAATAGCTATTGCTTCTAGAGAAGAGCAGAGTTGGGAGAAGATTTGGCATTGTAGGAGCAGGAGGTGGGGGGCTTAAGTTTTCTTCCACTTGCTGATTTGTCACAGCAGCTCACCACAAATGTTTCCACCGCCATTCCGTGAGGTCATAACAGTATTTTTACTATATACTGGTGGGGAGCTGCAGGTGAGAAGTTTACCCTTCTCTCCTTTTGGTGGATATTGCCCTTCCCAAAATGTTTTTGCCAAGTAGAGGCAGCCATCAGAATGTTATCCCATTTGTTTGTGTAAGTCATCTAGCTTTGTTCTCAGACAACCACATTTAACATATCCTGTGGGGACATCTGTAATTAGCATATGATTAGCTTTCTAAAGTTAGGGTTGTAGATGAGTTCTAAAGACAGTTTACTCCATAAAGACCATGATTTTCTAATTGACTGTAGAGTTTCTGCTTGTTGGATGCCAACTGAATATGAAGGGTGCTAGGTTCACAGAAAATCCATAGGACTGTGTGTGAAAGGCTGACATATAGGGCCACATTTTGTATAATTAATTCAGCAGCACCAGCAAGAGTTTTAATTCTTTTCTCTGCAATAGCAGCCTCTCATTTTTGTTACATGCTGTTCTTTCCAACTGTGAGGAACCTCAAAAAATAGTTTGGTTTATGCCACTGGGGAGTAACTGTTAAGGAAAATAGTTAAAAGCACTGCTAGGCACATACAAGCCTTCCATATGCCTAAAGAGGCTCATGGGATTTGTAGCTTCTGTGTGCAACATACTTTGCTCTTTACATAATATTGGAAAATGTTAATGTGTGCATGGTTGGACTAAAGTATGAGTGCAATTTTAGTAAACCACTTTCCTCCCAGGACCTCCCCATATTTTAAGAAAAATAACACTGTAATCTCATTTTCCACTCATTTCCAAAAGCTTTGGGTTTGTTGTAATTATTACAGTGCCTTCAACATGCTTCTTGCTCTGAGGCAATCCAAAGAAAAATGAATTTCTGGAGGAATTCAGACCCTAAGGGAGAAAGAAATGGTGAAGGCAGTACAATGCAGGAGGTGAAATGTAGAAATGCTTTCCCTTTACTCTAGTAGCCTTTTCCTTGAGATGTACCTTTTTCAAGAGCTTTAAGAAAAAGGCCACATGTGAAACAGCCCGAGATTTTCCACAGAACCCCACTGCAAAAAAGTGGCGACTTATGTAAGGGGATGTTGTAAGGATGCTTTTCCTCAGAGGACCACTTCTGAGGCTCTCTTCCAGCCAAACCAGTGTACAAAAGACTAGGAATGGGCAATTTGAAGGATTTGGGGGATTCCTGCTGCTATTGCTGCAAGAAAAAATAGCTGACTTTTAAAAGCCAAGTGCAATTTATCACCAAATTTTGGCAGTGTAGCAGGAAAAAAAATTGAGGTATTTTGTTCTAAGATACTTCCTTCAGGCTGTTGAAAACAGACTGTTATTCCATGCTGCTACGAAGGCAACAAATTTGGCAGACAGTGAGGTACCTCAGGCCAGGAAGAGCCATATAGCCAGCATGTTGCCCACACCAATCAGCATGTTTTAAGTGAAAAGATTAGTTATGTCATAATCAACCTTTTGGATATGTAAAACAGTTGATAATAGCATTCTTAGTGCTATTACACAGATTAGACATCACTGCAACTTTTTTGCCATGTTGTATCTCTCAATTATATACTGAAGATATAAAGACAATTTTCCCAAATAAGGAAACATACTTTATTGTATAAATTTATATGTATAAAATTTGTGAATTTGGAAGCAGCAACTTATTTATGGTTGAGGCAGTCTGATTTTATCAGTTGAATAAAGCTTTTCTCCTGAGGGAATTGCTACATAACTAGTGTAGTAGCTCATATAATGCAAGGCCTGATGCAAAAATGGACCATGTATTAATTTCCTAACTCACATTTTGAGATGATGTAGATGGATGTGGCTAGAAAATTATGTACAGAAGTCTTTAGCAATAAGGAAAGTGCTAGATATGAGTCTGAGATTCGGCTCAGAGGATCTAGGAAAATTGTCCAAGATGGAGGATGCCTCTGGCCAATATCCCGCTATTTCTATCCCACAGAATAGTGAATGTCCTCTGAGTTGTCTACAATGATTTATAAAATACAGTATAAAACACAAATAACAGAACATAAAACTTTGCCATAAAAAAATTAAACCAAATTTAAACAGCCTAAATAAGAGAGGCTAATACAACTGGTCCTATTGAAAAAGTGGGCATTCCTCATCCCATGCGCTATGTAAAGTTGTTAAATGCTTCCGCTTAGAGAAAAGTTGTAACCTGCCCCCAAAAGAATAATAAAGTTGGTTTCAGGCAGCCCTCAGTAGGGAGCTTGTTCCATATTTGGGGCGGGGGCAGCAGCACTGAGAATACTCTTCCTTGTTGCTTCCAACTGAGCCTTCCTCAAATGCAGTAGTAAGAGGGAGGCATCCGATGTTGAGCATCATGTCCAAGCAAATGGGATTTGCAACAGGCAATCCTTCAAGTATTACAGTCCTAAGCCATATAGGCATTCCTTCATATTTCATAATATGTTTCCAAATTTTAAGCATTTAAAATTGGAAGGACCCCTTAAAGCATAATTCTGGAGACATGGTAGGTTGGGAATTGTAGTCTACTTTAGCAATTTATTGTGAGTGTCCATCACATATGTTTCCATGTAGAATATTGAATCACTGGGGACAGCCTCCCTGCCACCTCTGCTTTCTTCCTCTGAGCCAGCTGGCATAACACAGCTATCTCATCATGGGTTATTTGAGAATTAAACAGCCCACATATAGCCCTGTTATTAATTGAAGGTTAAGCAAGACATGTCTAATCATCTTATTGTAGGTTGCCTATTAAAATAATGGCCACATGCACCCTGCATTAAGTGCAGCCTGTTGTAGGTTAAATAATCCATGATGACCTGGCTGTGTCATGTAAACCAGTTCTCTGTCTTCTAAGCCCAGTAGTATAGAAATGTCAGGCAACAACTTGCTGCTGCTGCACTCATGGTCAAAATTAAAGAGTGAAGTATTTTTGTTTTGTTACTTCTTATTCTTCCATTGATCTCCCAAAAAGCAACAGAGTACTACATTACATATTAAAGTACACACACAAAATGCTTTACAAGTATGCAAAAGAATAACACACACAAAAGCCAGATTTTTGTGCAGTATCATATACTTAAGGAAAGTTCATCAGACTGGAGGAAGTTAATGAGTAGGATGCTACAGGGTTCAGACCTTGACCCTGTATGCCTCGAAATTGGAGGAAGAAAGCAGAATGCTTACAGATGGCTCAAAGTTGGTTACCTGATGAAGTAGAAGCCAAAATATATTAGAAGTCAAGATTCAAGATGATCCTAATAGGTTAGAAAGTGGACAGAAAATAACAATTAGATTTAATAGAGGCAGTTGTAAAGAGGTAATTCTCCAGAAAGCAAAATCTGATACAGATGTATAAGATGGGGGACACCTGACAACATTAGTACATGCAACAAGGATCTTGGAGTTGTCAATCCAAGCTAAAAAGGAGTCAGCAGTGTGATGCAACTGTAAAAAAGCAAGTGCAATTTTAGTTGCATTAATAAAAGTACTGTTGCTAAATCACTGGAAGGAATACAACTGCTCAGCTCTGTGTTGGTCAGACTTGACTTTGTATGTCATACAAGAAAAGATTTAAGGCACTAGGTATGTTTAGTTTTAAAAAGAGAAGACTAAAGAAGATATAATAGCACTTTTATTGCACCTAAAGGGTTGTCACAGTGCAGAAGATCACACCCTCTTCTCTATCAAGTAACATTGTACAGCATGAAATAACTGACTGAAATTACTGAATGGCAGATTTTGACTGAACATCAAAAAAACCTTTCTAAGTGTGAGAGCAGTCAGACAATGGAACCAATTGCCTAGGGACGTGGTGGGCTCTCCATCATTGGAGGTTTTCAGATGAAGAACAGGCAACCCTTAGTCCAGGTTGCTGTCAGTTGGATTCCTGCACTGTATAGGGGTGGCCTGCTTTTTCCAATTCCTACACTTCCACAAGATAGTAGCACCCTGCTACATGTTGATGTGGTGTTAAATTCATGGTTGCTGCAGTGAGATTTGTGAAATGGCCCAGATTAAGACTTTATACTCCCTTTTCTGTGTCTGGGAGTATAGACTGTGTGACCCCCTGATAATGTGGCATCAAGAACAGAGGAAAGGAAGCAGCACAAGTATACCAAACAGTTTATCAAAACAGAACTTTCAGCTTTGCTTTATAGGCGATTTTCTAACTTATTCACAATAGTAAAATTTATGCAAACATAGTGTGTTGGATCCAGGACTCCCCTGAATG